AATATAAAGTAAAGATATTTTGATTTTAGAAAAACATAAAATAACAATGTAGCCTGCTTAATGGAGTTTATGTTTAAATAAATTAAGAGTAAATATTATATTTAACTAAAAATAACGTTAAATACATGATTTTTTTCAGAAGAGTTAAATGATAAAATACTCATAAGCCACCAATACTCATAAGACCAATTATCATTTTTAATTATTTTCTGTAACATATTTTGTTAATCTAATTGAAAGTTAAAAATGTATTTAATGCTTATGGGAACACTAAAATATAATCAGAGGGTATACCACAGACCGATTTGGTGAAGAAACCATTTATAGTGTAAAAAACAACTCCACTTATCAGCTACAATATTTATTCATTAAAATACAGTTATAAAAGTTATACTGTAAATTTTTCATATTTAGAGATGGTTCCAAAAAATAAATAATTAATATAATTTTTTAAAACATACCTATAAAACTATTGAACAAATTACTTTCTTGAATAGGGATAAGGAACAGAGAATCAAGAATATCAGAGAGCAGGTGCTCCGTTACCTTGGCCGAAAGGATGTGAAGAATTCACCTCAGCCCACAGAACAACAGTCATTGATACTTAATGCGATCCAGCACCAAATGAATTTATCCCAGTGGAATTCTGACTTATATACAGAGCTCCAGAGTGTTTATCCCAGCTGTAAGTATTAAATAATTTAGTTACTTGATAGAATATTGTTTAATAACTATTTAATCATCAGTTAAATTAAAATTTGTACATTATGAAAACCATAAAATGGTATACGCTGACTTCTCTATTCGTTTATAGCCGATTTTATTGTCAGCTACCACTATTAAAAACAATAACTGTTACATAAGTTAATTACAATAATTATTTAATGTTCAATATGTTTATAAATGCAGCAGTGAATCATAACACTGTATATTGAAGTTACAAAATGATCGACTGGGATTACCATTTTCATTCTTTTACTGAAGAAATAATTATGTTGGAACTCAACAATGGCATCTAGCCATTCAACCAAGTGGCCTCTCCTTGATATCACTTACCATGGCTTCCAATAACATGTTGTTTTTTTTAAATTGGATGATAACTTCATTGTAAAAAAATTAGTTCATATGGATGAAAACTATTTTTTAGTAGAATTTCCTCTTTGTGGATTTATTTAATTAGTAATTTATTAATAAGCCTAAACTTGGACGAGTACACACACATTTTATATTTACTCGATTTATTTTTAACAGTGCCTGATTTTATATTTATATTCAGTTGGCAAATGATGAAAAATATTTTTTTAATTTGAAACAAATTTTTTATTTGTTTATATATTTTTGGTAAGGGTTCATAATTATGAACTCATTCTGGACCCCAAATATTCTAGTGTAAATTATGAAAGTTAATTATTATAAAAGTAGACATTATCAAATAGTAAATAAACTTTTAAGTTTAATCAGGATGTAGTATGTTCATGAATTTCAATAAGTATTTCCAACACCTTTTCAAGGTTAAACTATTAAAATATTTGCTATATTTCAATTAATTCATTCTCATTATAATTTTAAGAATTTAGGAACACTTTTCCATTTATTTATCTTTTGATGTTAAAGTTTTGATAAACAATGAAATATCTATAACAAATTTTATCACCCAGGCGAGTTACCACGCAATACTGATGAAGAACTTTGGGATAAAGGACACCAAATGAACCTACACTTCAATCTTACTTTTCCAAATCCTGGACAAGGATCAACCTTCAGCATCCAATGGGCCAAGCTGAGACTTTACAAGCTCCCTCAAGTAAGGTTCCTAATTGTTAAAGAACAGCCATATCATTAGAAATAATTATTGACATTACTAATTATTAATAAACTTTAAAAGGGTAATACCACCATGCCTCTGGTGGAGGATTGTGCCCCAGGTAGAGGAGACATTACTGACAAAAAGCACTACATTCATTTCCCTACACCAGGAGCTCAGTTGCCAATTGAAGAAAAACAATTGAGGGTATCAGTTTACTGGTACACAAAAGCACTCCGCAAACATCGAGGTAAATTTTCTTTCTGTTTTTAATTTTATTGTTGAAGTTCATTTCTGTATTTCTTAAATATTTTTAGAAATAATAGTGTAAAAAATTTACAAGAGCATTAAGTTAATCTTATTTTATACATTTGATAGTTAACATATAAAGTGGGGTAGCTCAGATTGTGATGCACTAGAACACATGATTCCCGATCCTGTATTTGGGTCCAGCTATGGACAGAATATTTATTTATAATTTTTCCGAATCGACTTATTTGCCAATCCAATATATGTATCAATAGAATTAATATCTAATATTTTATTATTATTTATAACACATAGCCACATTTTCAAATTCCAAGTAAGAACCTAAGTAATCCATATGGAGTTCAGGCCGTATTTATTTTTGCTGTCTTATAAAGAAGATTTAACATAAAATGTACTGTTTAAAAAAAAGTGTATCACTTTTTTCAATATTCATTATTAAAAAAAAAAATCCTGTCATGGAAGCTAGAGAGTGGGAAAGAACGAACCCTCCACCCCTCTTGGGTATGTTATTGGCTCAGGAGCACTCGAAACTTGACGGCCATGTGCTACAAAAAAAAAAGCCATTGAATAGAAAAGTAATAAACATTTGTTGAAAAATGCACATCTGAAATTTCAGTTAAAAGCAAACATTACTGCTTCTAAAAATAGATTCTCCTTGAAAAATGCCATAAAACAAGAGAACTTAATACATCAGCTGGTAACATTATCCCAGTATTAGTTTCACTTCTTTGTTTCCAACTTCTATAAGCAATTTTCTATTTCAAAGAGAACTAACTTCCTTCCAGATTAGAGAAGTCATTCACTCCATTAGTTTTTACTAATGTCATAAAATAAATTACTCTAGTTTTTAAGTTATGTTAATCCCAAAAAGTGAAATTAGCACATCTTATGTTAGCAAAATAGATATAATGAGAGGAAAATAATTTGAAAGCATTATCTAAATTTGTCTGAACTAAATTTAGAGTAGAAATAATAAAAACATTTATTTATTTTTTGTTTAGTTAAGAGGAAATTGTTGGACAGTCAAATGATTTCATTCTATGGTGAAGCTTGGACAGAGTGGAATGTGAAGGCAGCTGTAAAGGCTTGGAAAGAATTGGGAAAAAATTTTGGTTTATCAATTGAAGTCGAAGATGAAGATAGAGTTATTTTACCAGCCTCAAAAATATTTATGGCTATGAATTGCTCTAAAGACGCCAGTAAGTATCCACTAAAACGTTTTAATAAATGTCTCCACTATTTACCATATTTCTAAACATTAAAAAGAAATTGTGATTTTCTTTCTTCTGAATTTGTAAAGTTTTTGTTTAGATGAAGAATAATGCTCAGCCTAGATGCCAGTTTCATTAGCTTATTTTAATTGGAATTTTATTTTTAATAGGTTGGACAATTAATATTTAAGGACAATATCAATCGCAAATTTGTCAATTAGCATCAATCTATGATAGATGAAAGAACTGAATTCATGCCATACAGATTCTTTAAAGTAAATTTCATTGCATATTTATTATATTCTGTTTTTTTATATTATGTGTAGATATCCAACAACCAATTCCAAGTTCACTGCTGGAAAATCTCAATAATAATACCCAGCAAATATTCATCAAACCATTCAGCCAGCTCTATCCAGTAATTGAACTCAGTACAAGGGAATTTCCAGAGGCGGAGGTTCAATACTCAGGAATCAAATTGACAGGAGAACATAGGCTCAGACATCACCATGGGCAGGCTTCTGAAACAGCTGTAAATGAAACAGTATCAGGAGGTATTAAATGGGAGGATCCAAGAGACACAGATACAGATAGATAAATATATTTATATTAACATTATATTTAGATAGACAGATAAGAGGTATATTTTAATTTTAAAATAAAATAAACACAGGAATTTGCAGTTAGTCCTCATTTGAATTTTCAAGATTGAGGTGTTATGTCTAAAAATTGTTATACAACAATACTTTTAAATATATAGTATAATATAAATATTTAATATACTAGAATATAAATGAAAAAATTTTAATTTTAACTTTATATATATTCATGATATTGAACCCATCAATATCCCAAATTGTATGATGTTTGGCTTATCTTAATCCAACATTTCCAATTCTAAACAAATGAGGCTAATTGTAATTGTTACAACAGTAATATTCCAATGTGTTAAAGGTCCTAGAATTCAGCCAAATATTTAACAGTATTCGATAAATTAAAAAAGGAATAATGTATCAAATACAGTAGTTATATTTAACTCCATATATACTTCAATTTTTAGTATAACCATAAGCCAAATGTATTAAAATATGTTTGTAACAAATGCGTGCATATATTACGTCTTTTATTTTATAAACGTACATAGGTTAACTATTTAAATGATAAATAATGACTTACAGGTACAGTGTTAGTTAAGTTGAAGAACTATTAGTAAAAATATCACATAGAATAACTGTATTGTACATATATAAGACTGTAAAAACTTAAATATCTTTTTTTGTAAAAATATTTTTTGTGCCATTATTTAAACTTATTTAGTTTTAATTGTTTATTTTGCTAAGCTAGTTTATTTAGAAGTTGAAGGAAGCAAAGATAATATCTTCTTAAATATAATTACAAGACAAGAAGATGTGTAATTTTTTATAGGTAAGACTGAACTTAATGATAAGTTTTGTATGTATGTTATATTTTTTGAACTTTGTTTGTATAGAGCGAAACTGTAAATGCATTTTGTAGACAACAGAATAAGAAATAAACATATGTTTTTTTGTTTTTTTTCTAAAAATTAATAAAATATCCTTTTTTACTCATATTCAATACCTTTTCAATCTCAATTTATAAAATATTGAGTATTAATAGAATTAGTCATGGAAACCAATGAGTATCCTTGTTGCTAGGTAAGCCTTGTTACTACTAGATTTACATCATCTATAGTTATGACAGATGAATTTGATGAAGAATCCTGGAATAGTTTCATGGCCAGAACAGATCAAGCAGGTTAATTATTAAGGGCTAAGTATATATTTTTTTAGTTAGATGTAATATTTAACAGAAAATAATTCACTCATTAGTTTGAGGTTATAAAAAATCATTAAAGATTGTCATAACTCATTATCAATACAATGAAGGTCTTATAAACCACTATTTCTAATAACTATCACCCAAATAACTACACATCACTAGCGGATCCAAGTATTAATTTTTGGAGGGGGGAGGGCTTCAGCCCGGAAGCTTTTTTTTCATATATATAACGACAATTACGATACTAACTACCTATATGAAATGGTGTTTAAGTGATTCTTGAAGTCCTATTAAATGTAGTTGAACGACCAATAATATTTTAAGACATATCTTTTTAAAGCATGGTTACATTTTACCATTTGGGGGGGGGGGGTGACTTCAGCCCGAAAGGTTCCCCTCTCCCCCGTTGATCTGCCTGTGCTACACATAAGTAAAGTAAAAATCTTAGTTATAAATTTCACAAAGTACAGCTGCAATTCCCCAATTATATGGAACCAAAATGGAAAGGATGAAATACAATGTTATTTAAAGTATTATACTTTAGTAAGATTTTAATATCTCTTAACAAAAATAAAACTAAGAAATTATAGAACTGCCATTAGCTGGAATTGGTTTATAAAATTTTAAAAAATGTTCCCTATTTACATACTTCTTTTAAGTTTTTTTTAAACTGAAATGAAGAGTCAATTTACTTTTTTTTTTCTTTAGAAACTAAATTTGAATTTTTTAAATATAAATGAACTTATACGAAGAATTCCTTCAAAATAATTATCATTTAATAGCGTTTATTCTTTCAAAATATATTTTTTTAATAATATAGAAATTTATTATAATTTTCATTTTTTTTTTTTTTAATAAATGATTATTTTAGGTTTTTGATATTTTTACAATCATCCCATAAATTATTTTTTAATTCATTTTGGTGGTTGTGAACAAAAAAAAAAAGTTATTTTAAATATACCACAAGCGCAAATAGTAACATTCAGATATGTGCGTGTCACAGATTCTGCTTTCGAGGATACTAATAATCCTATCAATGCTAATATTTTTTCTATTGGTTTGATTTGTATCTAATATTATTGAGATATAATATTTATTATCTAAAGTGAGTTGTGCATTTTTTAAATCAATAATCAATTTATATTTAAGCCCAAATATTGATTTTATTAAGTAAATTTGACACTCAAAAAAGATAATTTTGGTAACACAACTGAATATTTTTATATTTTAACCATATTACTATATTATTAGTGTGAATGTAATCTGTGAACTCTATTATAAAAGTCCTAGAGACAGATTATAATATTTTTCAAAAAAAAAAAAACTATATTACTAACATTTTTCAAAAATTTGTTCTATGAATGTTAATATTTTTTGCTGATGACATTTGATTTCATTAACATCATTTAATGAAAAATGTTAATGGAATTTTAATGTTGATTGATAAATTTTAGAGAAAACATGATACATTTTACTATTCAATGTAAAAGCAGGTGTTACGACAGTATTAACATTTCAGTTAAAAATATGGTTAATTGTAGTGTTAAAAAGGTTTTGCTGTTGACTTGATTAAAAACCAACAAAATATTTCATATAGATTTCTCTAATGATAATGTTATTTTCTACTAATACAATGTTATTAAACCCAGCAACAAAACATTTTTTTTTTTCATCCCATTTGTGTGAAGATCCTAAAATATTTGAATTAAGGATGATTGATAGTGAATGAGTGAGAGAGAGAGAGTGTGTGAGGGAGAGAGAGGTCTTTATCTTGCTCCTATAATAACAACAAGGATTTTTATGCCTTTGTAATTACCTAACTCATACCTAAAGCCCTTATTTAGTGCTATGTCTTGGTTCTTTCACTTTATTATGGAATTAAGCATATTTATATTAAATAAAATTAAGAATACCTTGAATTATGATCAACATTAATATTTAATTAATTTATTTTGACATATTACCTGTTTCAAATTCTTTTCCATGCTGTATTTTTAATAAGTTATTTAGTAGGTGACATTGAATTAAGACATAGTTAGAATAAAATAGAGCTATATTTAAAAAATAAAAAAGGATTGGTTGCACATCATGTACAGTGCTAAAAAAAATTAATTTCTAAAACTTTATTTCTGGCTAACTATTTATTCAAAATTCTATTTACAAGTCCATTATTCCTTCAAGATTAGCTTACTATACCAAATAAATTGAGTTATTATTTTATTATAAAGCTTTTTCAAACCACAGATTTTGTTTAATTTAAAATTTTAAATTTCTAAAAAATTAATATTTGTCTAAAAATTCGGAGAAAAGTTAAACTGAAAAATCGGTGATTGAGAAGGTGATATCTACCATTTAAAACAATAATTAGTTTTGCTGGAAATAGTTCTACCTCAATGTGTCTTTTAACTTAATTCCACTGTACTATTTCAACAACAAAACTTGATTCTTAGAAGCTTGCATACCAAAAAATCCTTTGCTCGTATATATTAATACGTTGATACACATGTATTTATCCATCTATTTCGGATAAATGATGTTGGACCATATGAGAAAGAAAAAAAATCAAATTACTATTACTTTTTTTTTTCCGTTTTAATCAATATAATGGTTTACCCCTACTGGTTTCATCAATTTTTAACCAATTTTCTGATGTAATATGGAACACTTCCATTGGACATGGACTTAAAAGTTCATGAGTGGCAAAACTCCAGTAAAATTAAAATTGTAGATTCTCCGATAATGTTTCATCCATGACATTTCTTAAGTTCACTATTTAATAATAATTGAGGAAACCCCTATAAATTAGTACCAATAGAATATTTTCATGAATTTAGTGAGATCAGTAAAAGGTGAGAAGGGCCATTATTTTAAAGAATTTAATAAGCTTTAATATCTATAACTTTTTCTTATGAATGACCAATTGTTTTTAAACCTTTATTTAAAGGTGTGTATAGACATTCCAAATATGGGAAACTAACAGTGACATTATTGCTAAACTAAACTATTTATTTAATTTCACTTGATATAGACAGCAGATGGAAAATATAAAAAACAAGAAACAAAAATACTAGCACAGTGAAATTACCATTTATATATTTGTTTGTCCAAAAGTTTGTAAAACGTCTAAATGCACCTTAAAATCAGAAAAAGCACTAAGCTAAATGTGGGAACTTTTAGAATAGTTAGGACAGCTCTCTTCTTAACTTAACTATAAAAATTCAGATCTGCATGAGTTTTTTTGCTTTTGAAACATGATTTGGCTTTCATTCCTTTACTACTCCTTTACTATTGCTTAATTCCCAAAAATCAATATCCATATGTTTTCAAGTTTATTTATTATCAGCCATTTTACACCAATTTTCAAAATTTTGTCAACTTAATGACTACACATCTGATTATGACGTTTCGGCTCGTTGAGCCATTTTCAAGACTAAAAAATTTTTACAATTTACAGTCATATTTAAAACATTACATACTTCCACATATAGAGATTCTTTTTATATACCTAAAATATCAATCATGTACCTGTCCTTTTCAACTTATGCGTATTGCATGCGTCTACTCATATAAAAAAATTTTATTTTTGTCATGTCCACCTTTAATTATTTTATAACATTATTATTACTCAATTATTTATTATTAAATGATTCAAATATCTCAATCTCATCAGCCTCATTTCAGTTTCGTGACTGGTTATTCTTAAAGGATTAGGGGAAGACTATATATTTTAAACACATACAATGTTTCCCAATATCATACATGGACTTATTTTAAGTAAAATTAGCTAATTCATTTCATATTTTTATTTTTTCAATCGAACTCGCGTAAAAGGTATTCATATTATCCACGTCTGTATGATTATTTACCGAGTTTTTTAAATTTTTAGGTATGTATATTGCTTCTTTTATTCTACATTTATTCATATTACTTTCATTATGTAGGATTTTGACGTTTTTGAAATCAAATTCATGTTTAGTTTCCATAGTATGTTGAGAGAGCCCAGTAGCTAATTTAATTTTTGTGTTTTTTGAATTACAATTTTGTTTGTGCTGTTTAAGTCTTTTTTCAAACCATTGTGATGTCTGTCCAAAATATGATTTGTTGTTGCAATTTTTAAAGTTTATTTTATAAATAATATTCGTTAATTTATCAGTGGGTATTTTATCTTTAGTTTTGGAATAAATTGTATCGATTTTATTAATAGGTTTGATTGAAAATTTAATATCCATATGGAGAACTTCTGAAGTAGCACATTCATTTGATTTTAAATATAAAATTACATAATTGATAATTAATTTGTTTCCTATTTACAGCTAAGATTATTAAAGGACTGGCATCAAGTGATATTAAGAAAGTGAAACATTCATTAAAAAAGGCAAAAGAAGTACTAGGAAGAGTCAAAGAGAGCACTGAAATCAAAGAAGAACTAAGTTATGTCAAAGCAGATAGAACAGTAATAAATCATAATGCATTGATTGAGAAGAAACCTGAGGATCCAAATACTATGACTCAAGGTTTACATCCAAAAACAAATTTATACTTTAATGATTTTTATTATAAAACATAGAAGATTTTGTAAATTTTTAACTACCTATATGTTTACTATACTATTCATTTACCCATATATTTAGTAAAAGAAAGTATTACGTTCATGCAAATTTTTTAATTCAATGTAAATGCTTGTTTCAATGTCCCGTGATTCTAAACAGCTGTCTTGCAAAAAAGTATGAGTGTGAATGTGGACAGTCGAGCTCATAAACAATAAGTTGAATAAAACTGAATTTAAGTATTTAATGTAGATATAAATTTAATCATCTTTTATATAGCTTCTTGTTTTATGTAATAATTAGATTATTTTCTTAAGAAGAGTTGTCACAATATTATGAAGAGGGCCTGCAACAACAGGCCTTGAAGTGTCCAAACTCAAAATTCACCATGGACTATTAAGGTTTAATCAATTATTTATTAAGTCTTTAAATATGGCCTACAATTAGACTATAGGAATGTGAATTTGCACTGAAAGATACTTTACCATAGAAAGATATTTTTATTAGCTTACTATATTACACATTTGGTAAATAAATCAATAAAACTAATTTCAGTTTCATACTTCTTTTTCTTTTTGACCTAGGCTTTTCATATACACATACAGACTGTTTTGTAATTATTGTTATATTTCCCCTTACTATTTATTTCATTCATGGGTAATTAAAATTAATAATTCACGATGTAATTTTTACCTTCACTTTCCTAAATATGGAAATACCTATTTCTTCTCTAAGTACGGTGGTAAGTGAAAGTTGTGTGATGCGCTGATCTCAACAGTTTTTTTTTATTGTTAATATTATTACATTAATTTTCTTTGATATTTATTTATGGATAAGTGAGAAGACGAGGGACATGACTAGAAATGTAATTAATTAATAATTCAATGGTCTTAGTTCAGACTATATTTTTTTAAATTCTTGTTCTCTTTATTCATAACATGTAATTCTGTTTTATATAATTAGAAGCCTTCATGAAGCATGTTGAAAAAGACGCTGCTGAAAGGGCAGAACAGAGAAGGCTTGATAAAATAGAAAGTGACAGGCACATGAAAGAAGGAAATAAAGCTTTTCGAGGAGAAGATTATGATAAAGCTTTGAGTTGCTATAATAAGGTAATTTTATTAAAATTTATTAGCAAACTTAAAACAACATATAAGAAAATATGCCAAGAGTATTATTCCAATGTTGCTGATAGGCAAGAAAGACATGTTAGTTTTTTTTTTTTTTTTTTATGATATTTATAACAACTGTATTACAAATAAAAATAAATTCAGTAAATGTGAATACAAGAATATAATAACATGAAACTATTTGTTGAGAAACTACCCACTGCTAGCACTCTAAAAATGTATTTGCAAAAGGAGATCTAGAAGCCATCTTCTTTTCAGGCGCCTTGGAAGGAAATTATTTTTATTCTTCATTATAGTAAGCTTATTAATATTACTCCACATACTGCACAAAAAAATATCTAAAATCCATAAAGAATCTTTAATTTAGCACTTTTTAAATATGTACTGTTTCTTGATCAACCACTGTGCAAAGCATAAGCTCAAAATTTCCATTCTGGTTGGGAGGGAGGGAGAGGGGACAGAAGTATACAAAAATATGTTTCGGGAATTTATATTATGTATACAAATTATGAATGATAATCAACATATTATTGTTTTGGCTCTGTTCTTGGCCCTGCCCTGTGGAATCTGGTGTTCAACCAGTTTCTGGGATTGATGGAAGAGAAGTGGTTCCCCGCCATGGCCTACAATAAGGTGACCAGATTTTAACATTGGTAAAGCAAGACATCATTTAATTAATTTTACATAATGATAATCTTTCGGTTCAGATTTTGATCAGGTGACATAGTATTCAGCTGAAATAAGGCTAAGAATTTAGTTCTAAAGGCATATTTTTGAGAGTGAATAATTTTATGTCTAATTTATGACTTTGATAATAACACTGTTTTAAGGCTTGATGTTTTGCACCCGCAGTTTGTATGCAGTAGCTCTTTTTCAAAATGTTAAAAACTTATCGAAGATGACAACGTTTTCGGTAATCAAAGTAGTAAATGACGTTAATTTGCTGTGATGCCCAAGATTAACCTTTTCCTTATCAATATTTTTTTTTAATAACGAAACCTCATTAAAAAGATCATTTCTATGTAGTTTATTACTATTAAGTCCAAAGAATGGTGATCAAATTCTAACAACTGATCAACAATGCGAACTTAGCTAAGCAATTATCGATAATCAGTTCCTTAACAATTATTTGTAATTATTAAAGTTTAACACTATAAAATATACAAAAATAATATCAAACTCATATCCTAGTGAAATAGCTACGTGGCCGCCTACAATCTTATATTCTCTTTCCGTTCTCTTGCCATTTCCTAGTTTATTGTACATTCTTTCCAAAAATCGGGAATTTTAGAAAGCAAATCGTTCGAAATCGGGATTTTCCTGCCAAAACCAGGACATCTGGACGCCTTAGCCTATGTCGATGACCTCTCCATTTTGATGGCCTCTAACAGGAGGTCTAGGCTGAAAGATGAAGCTGAACGATGCGCCAACGAGTTGAAGATGGATGCCGCCAAGACTCAGGCCATTCTCAAGCGAGGCACGACTTATAGAGCTCACCCTGTAATAATGACAATACAAGGAGTGAGAATACGCCCGAGTGAGGTCGTCAGCTACCTTGGAGTTAGGATTTGAAATAAATTTAATGTGACAGCTCACTTGGACTATTTAAGAAGTAGGGTGTCCCTAGCCCTTAATGGGCTCAGTCGTATTGGGGACACTTTATGGGACCTCAGATACTCAACGACAATGACTATATGTAAGGGAGTGATTTTGGGTATTCTGAGGTACACATCCCCTGCCTGGAATAGAAATCTCACCCACCAGCAGAAGAGCAGGTTGGCGACAATTCAGCGGATGGTTCTGCTGCGGGTCACCAGGGCGTTTAGGACAGTGTCTCATGAGGCGGTACAGCTTTTTGAGGGAGATGTACCTCTCGAACTCCTCCTGTGAGAAGATAAGTTTAGGCATCAGATGAAGGGAAAGGATTCTGCGGATCTACAAGAGAATCTTCGAATGTGAATCAATGCAGAACCCACAGAATGGAAGAGAATGTTTCGCGAGAATACATATGAAGAATGGAACAGGCAGTGGGTTACAACCACTAAAGGGGCAACTCTGAGAAGATATTTTCCTACCATCGGTTCGCGGTTAGAAGCCACATGGATCACACTTGACTACTGGGTCTCACAGTTCCTCATAGGGCATGGGGGTTTTCATGCAAAGCTCTTCGCTCTTGGGAAGAACATTGATCCTCTATACTCTAGTTGCGGAGTACCAGAGACCATAGAACAGATTGTCATAACCTGCACTGTCTAAGAGACACTTAGAACTAAACTGTTGGGGGAAACTGCGCTTTTCATTTTAATGGAAAACGAGTTTCCTCAGCTCGTTAACTAAGGAAATTCCCTCACTTCAAAGAATTTGCTTATGAGTGGAAAATGTAGTAAGATAATTAGATATACATTGGAAGAAATTTTAAGAATTATTGGGCATAAAGCTGCATGTAATAAGTTTTCATTTAGTAATTATATTTGATATAGTTATTTTATTACCTTAATAAGTACAAACTTTTGTTTACTCAGAGCAATTTCGAACATGAATTTTATATTTACAAATTATTAGAAATGAAAAACAGAAATAAATACAGTTCAATCGGAAAATACGAATTAGGTAATAATTGAATTTAGTACAAAAATATAAATAACTGTGAAATTATGTCTACAAACTGAAATAACAGATGTCTACAAAATGCTGCATAATCTAACATATTTTTATATGATATCTACACAAGATAGTAGTTACAAATAATCCCTTTTTTTTTTTGTATACTTATAAGTCATAAAACATTTTCAACATAAAATTGATTATCTTCCTACTGCAAACATAAGCATTACAACTTAAAACTTACATGTAACAGTTGTATTTATAATTTTATTTATTTAAGCATTATTTTTTATGTTTTTTAAAATTTTTATTATGTGTTTTGTGATACTTTTTGTGAAGAAGCAATAGGACACCCCATCAAACAATATTTTGTGGACTCTATGTATATATTATAGTATGAAATGAAATGAAAATATTTTTTTATTATCCTGGGACTGTTGTCCCTTTAGGACAAATTACAGATACAGAATAAATGCCTGTGTGGCCATACATAAAATTAATTATTTACATTTATTATTAAGATTAAGATTTTGAAAAAATAATAAAACAAAAAATATAACTATTACACTAAAAACAATGTATATGTATAATACAAACTATATAATAAAATAAAATAGCATAAGTAAAGAAAATCATTTCTGGGGGAACTTTAAAAGTTCTCTTATCTACATTTCATGATCAATCGGGTTGGAAAAGGAGTAGGTGGTTAAAAAGGAGAGATTTAAATGAGAAAACTGATTGTACAGGTCGGATATCGGGAGGGATGGTATTCCAGAAGGAGATGGCTTGAATTATAAAAGATTTGTCAAACGCTGCAGTTCGGTGGATAGAGGTCGGAGGTACTAGATCTAGTGAGACGGGATTGAATGGAATATTTGAATTGTAGGTTGTGAAAAATATAGGAAGGCCGCTGAGTTCTGATGACTTGGTACAGAAAAGTGGCAAGGAAGTACAAACGGTGGTTGGATGGATAGAGCCACTTCAACTTGGTGTAATACTGGGTTATATGCGTATCTCTTGAGATTCCGAAAACAAAACGTATTGCGCAGTTCATTAGGCGTTTAAGTATGCTATGTAATTACTAGTTATGTAACAACAAATACGAAAAATCTTGGCTGTATGGGGATTTTTATTAAACGTATACCTAGACCACTTCTGCTTGAGATGGGTACCAGGAGAAGGAAGCGTACCAGGGAGCTCGACGGAAAGAGGAGGTGCAGAACTCTCTATGAAAATTTACAGATTGTAGACAGCATGATATGTAATTTTGAAGATTTCCTTGTAGCAGTGGGTTTTTACTTAATGAGTTACATCCCTATTTAATCTATTAAGCCATTTCCTTCCATTTAGGTAGATTGGGATACTTGCGATTTTCCTTTCTTCTTTTGGTCAGTGTTCATCCAGTTCTAACTGAACAGTCTAGTGAGTTTAAAAATGGGTGAGCATCTACGCTTTATGGCGTTGAATACATGAATATTACTACTATTAGTACAAAACGTCATATGTAAACATTGAGTGTTTTGCAGGAAAACATAAAAACTAATTTTTTCGTTATGATTTATTAGTATAATTTCATAATTTATAGCTCTCTGCTCTTTTTCATCGCAGCAGAAGGCTTACGACCTTTTGCACTAACAGTAGTAATATATAATTAATCGGCATGTTACAATCGTAAATCGATGTTATCAAAACTCCGTAAGAGAAATAAGAAAAAACGAAACTTTATGTTTTTTCAGAGTTAACGAAACCAATACTTTTCTTCAGTCAGAACAAAACTATTTAAACAGGAATATAAAAATATATGTGAAAATCACACATAAACTCGATACTACGACGAGCTGGTTGAACTTCAATAGAAATGAACACAAATACAAATAAGATTTTTTTTTTTACAAACTCAGAGTAAAAATTAATTTAAATTTATTGAAAATTACGCGAAATCTAAGTAACGTTTGGAATCGACGAAACAATAAAGCCTAAATTAACTCTTTGAATAAAAGCTAAAATTTTATAACCCCATAAAAATATTGTCATAACCTAACACCACCCACTCCATATTGCCTTTCAATATTCACTCCAAAATGCCATTCACATTTCACTGTCATTATATTGTTAACAATTATTTATATTAATTTTAATTATAATATGGAATTCAATGAAATTCATATTAGGAAATTTCTATACTATTCTCCAAATTTCCTCCAAGTTTGGGTCAAATTGAACACGCAGTTTTCAAACTACAGGCTTGCAAAATAATACGTTTGCTGATCCGAAAGCGAAAGTATTTTTTCTAGGAGAAGTAGATAGAATTTCATAAAATCCATACCTACTTGATAATCTGTTTATCAATTCCTAACTTCCCTCCAAATTCTAGCCAAATCTAGCATGTGATTTTAGATATATAGACTTGCGGTTTTAGAGATTTTTTTTCAGCCCTTCGCAAGAACACAATGCTTATAAATAAACTTTGTTAGTGAGCACTAGCGGATCCAGGATTTAATTTTTTGGGGGAGGGGGAGGGAGGCTTCAGCCCGAGAGATTTTTTTTCAAATATATAAAGATAATTAATTTGAAAAAAAGAAAGAAAGAAATTAACTACCTTTATGAAGTGGTGTTTAAGTGATTATTGAAGTCCTATTAAATGTAATTACACGAACAATAATGCTATAAGAGATAGTTTTTAATATTTTTTTCTATAAAACAAGGTTATATTTTACCGTTTTGGGGGACGCTTCAGCCCGAAAGCCCCTTCTCTCTCTATGAGGGCAAGAGGATATTCCTGTCCCCTCTCTATTTTTATTGGGGGCGAGAAACCTGTGATTTATCAAGATCAATTAAAAAATTGGCTTTAAGAGGTCTAGTAGGGCCGTGGCTCTGCTGCAGTTATAATACTCATACACAAACAGCATATCTCTGTACAGCGGCCGTCTTAGACTTCCTGAAAGTCCCTTTTATCAATGATCTTTTCACATCTATCTGATGTAAGCTTTAAATTTGCCTCCAGCTCAGTGAATGAGGAGGCGGTTCATGAAAAAAAAAAATTAGAATTATATTTATTGAAGAAAATAAAAAGAAAAAAAAGTTGAGCGCCACGACGTTTTTTACAATAAGACATAACTAGAAGGAAAAAAATAATAATAATAATAATAATAAGGCTTAACGAACCCGAAGGTTCGATGCCGACACCACCAATCGCTTGTTACACACCTCCCTCCACCGTTCGCCGTCCAAACCCAGTCCCTTCAGATCGGCTTTAATGCAATCTTCCCACCTTCGCTTCGGTCTACCCCTCGGACGCTTACCATTCGGCACAGCAAATATTAACCTTTTAGGAATTCTCTCGTTACTAAGCCCAACAACTTTACAAGCCCATTTGATTCGCCGCGATGAAATTACCTCAATTATATTACCCGGATACAGCTCACGCAATTCGGCGTTGTGTAACCGTCTGAACTCTCCGGTTAACTCATCCTTCTTCGGTCCGAATATTCTACGCAATACTTTATTTTCAAAAACCTTAAGACGCTGCTCATCTCTTAATGTAAGCGGCCAAGTTTCGCATCCATAAAGAACTGTAGGCAAGATAATTGTTTTATAGATTCTAATTTTTAAGTTTCGGGACAAGAGGCGCGAACTAAGTAGTTTTGTCACAGAAAAATAACAAGCATTCCCCGCCTTCAGTCTAACCTTAATCTCTTCTTCAATTTCGTTTTTTCTAGTTATCGTAGAACCTAGATACCTAAATTTATCTACCTGTTCAAACATATTACCATCTATATCGATATCACCAGTAGTATCGCCATTTTTGCAGCTAACCATATATTTTGTTTTATCCACGTTTATTTCGAGTCCTAGTTCTTTAACGGCTTTCATTAACGTTGTCGTATTTAGTTTTATAGTTTCAACGTCTTCGCGTAACAGTACTAGATCATCAGCATAGCCCAGCACGGATGTTGTCCCGCCCAGATCCAACCCTTTCTCGGTTCGCATTACCTCCCTAATGGCATGTTCTAATGCCAAATTGAACAGGACAGGCGAAAGAGAATCCCCCTGTTTTAAGCCCGAACGAACCTCAAATTTTTCGGACAAATTATTACCGATTCTAACTTAAAAGGAAAAAAATATTAACTTAGAAGGAAAAAAATATTATAAAATAAATAAACCTTAAAGAATAGGAAAACTTTAACAAATGATTTAATAAATTATCTTAAGTTCTACCTAAACAATTATAAATATATATTATTAAAATCTTCTAAAATAATAATTCCTTAACCTAACATAAAAATAAATACTATAATAAAATTAAAATGATATTTCTAAAAAAAAAAAAAAAAAAAAATAATAATTTAAAGGGGAAAAACTCCTATCTTATCAGTTACTTTAGGTGGTGCCTCTTTCGTCAGTCTTTCCTCTCAACCAAAACACCTTTGCTAAGTAGAATTTGCAATGCTTTCGTCCTCAAAAGCTAATCCCCTTCCGGGTTTTGTATCGGATCCTCGATGTAATACTTGGATTGATGATATTTAAAGATTGATGACAAATAAAAATTCTGCCCAGCCATTAAGAGAGCTTGACAAACAACAGTCTCCTAAGGGTCTCTGTCCTCGACTGTTGATACTGGGGGCTTGTTCAAATATATATATATTAATAATATATATATATATATATGCGCGCGCGCGTGTATGTAGGTAGGTCCCTTGCTGGCTAGAGATTTTTTTTTGTTTTTTTTATGCTTCCCTTGCTTGTCCAGAAATAGCAGCAGCATCGCTGAGTTTACTTGAATTTAAATGGGAATTTTATTATATTCCGTGTTCGTATGTTTCTTAACACCTATCTGGAGCAATTGTCAAATATTTTATTTATTTGGAAGTGGCCCAGTATTGTTATAATTTCATTGGTGATGAATTAAACCTTTACACCTCTTAATCTCTCTTAACAATTATACATTGCATATTAACATCTCCGAAATCAACTCCCATCGCCATATTTTATTTTTTTATCTAGCTAAATTATCAAGATTGCAGGAAGAGGCACAGCCTCAATCTGCCAAATTTAACTAGCATACACTGCAGTTATTGAAAATTAATTATTCATGACTCGGGAAAATAAATGTTGACTCCAGAGAATAGAAAACATAGAATAAGAAATAAAATTTCCATTAATTATAAATGTAATATTTGTTTTAGGCTATTGATGCATTGAGAGATAGAAGCATACTATATCTCAATAGAGCCTTAACTCTTTTAAAACTTGGTCTATGTCAACGAGCATTAGCGGATGCTGAATTGGCTTTACGTATCTCTCCAAATAGCTTGAAAGGACTTATGTATAAAGCTGAGGCTCATTATAAGCTCGGTGAATATGAAAAATCAGATGAAACGATTCTCGAAGCATGTGAAGCACATCCTAATCAAGTTGCATTAATTAAAGGTAATAAGTACTTCATAAATTACTCCTAAACGTAATTTAAAAAAGAAAACAAATAATAATAATTGTACACTTTGCAGATCTTCAACAGAAATGGACCGATGCCTTAAATGTTGGAAAACTGAAATAGCTGAGAGCTTTTAATATTTTTTTGAAATAATAAAGCTATTTCTTAGTTAATTATTTTATTCTAGATAAAACATATACGAAAAATGTATCATATGCTTTGAAATGTCACCCTGGAACTATTTCAGGTGATTCAATAGTAAAAATATTTGTATTGAATGTCATTTCATTATGTTCAACCGTTCAATAAAGTCTTTATTCCTTATGAGTCTAATATAGACTAATTCTTTCAAAACATATTATATTTTTCTCAGTGGAATCTAATTATTTCATTTTTGAAAATAAATAAGAACATATCGACATTACTGTATGCTGTATCTTTGCTTCCATTTCTGTACATAAACTAACTGGAGATATAAAACCAAAACCTTTGAGAAGCTTTTATTTTTTTTATTCTTTATGGAGGTATTAAATCAAAAAGTTATTGATAGTATGTTTTTAAAAAGAAATTATTCAAATTATTATAACTTTCCATCAGCTATAGAATATTAAATTAGAAAAAATCCTGAAAAGTTATGAATGTTTTAGTTAATGGAAGGGAAAATAGTTCTGTTGAAAAGTAAAGGAGTTATTATGCTAACTATCTTAACATATAACAACTGTATTACATATATCATCTCCTTTAAGTGTAGAAAATATCCTCATTATTCCCATATTCCAGGGGGGAAAGTTATGAAGGAGAAGAAACATTATTTGCAAATAACTCAAAAAGTATAACAAATTTTGTGAATTGTATCTATGATTATTTGAATAATTACTAAAGTTTCTAAAAAACAAAAATAAATCTTTGAAATCGATTAGAAATTTGAAAAACTTTATACATATCGAAGGAGGGAAGAGTGCATTCAAATGTGTGCATTTCATGTTTAAATTTAGTAATTATAGAGAATCCGTATTACGAGAATATAACACCAAGCTGGATTCAGAAAAGGGGGGAGCAGATCTTCATCCTAAAACAAATACTCGAAGAATTGTGGGAAGTAGCTCACGACGTCCATGCCCTATTTGTCGATTTCAAAGTAGTCTATGATTCTGTGGACAGGAACTGCCTTTGGAAAATCATGACTGAACAGGGAATTCTCAGTTGGCATGTACAAATGACCCCAAATGTAGAGTCCTAATACAAGGAGAAGTATCGGAAGCATTCAAAGTTCGAACAGGCTTACGGCAGGGAGATGGATTATCACCGATGTTGTTCAACTTAGCCCTGGAGAAGGTAATAACAGCAAAAGCATAGGAAAATGGAGGTGCCATGTCGGAATGAATCATAAAATCCTTGGATACGCAGATGATATCGCTGTCCTTGGAAGTAATCAAGAAACTACAACACTGATAAAAGAGGCAGAGCAGATCGGCCTACAAGTAAATAAAGACAAAACAAAATATATGATAATAAGTCGAAATTTCCACCCCAATAACAGGATCTGCGTAGAAGAATCATTTCCGAAAGTAGAAAAATTCAAATACCTTGGCTCCACAATAACCTCAATGAATGACCAACGGGCTGAAATAGACCAGTGGATAACTAGCGTAAACAGAGCTTTCTTCTCTCTCTCAAAGTTATTGAAATTCCGAAAAATCTTAAACTAAGGATGTACAATGCTATGACAAAGCCAGTTCCCATATATGGCTGTGAGACCTGAACACTAACCAGGACCCTAGAGAAAATACTGAAAGATTTGTGAGGAAAATCTTCCGCACGATAACCGAACTGATCTGGAATCAGAGTACTAAGACATGGAGAAGAAAGGCCAATAACGAACTGCTTACAGAAACTGGTTAATCAATATCCCATGATATCAAGGCACGGATATTAAGATGGGCGGGGCATGTAGCTCGTAGTAATCCACCTGAAAGCCTATACGTAACAAAGAATTCCTCAATAGAAGGCAAAAGACCAAGTGCAAGGCCAAAAAGTAGATGGATAGAATTAATAAAGAGGCAACAGAGCTGCGAGCAGATAAACGGAAAGAAACAGTCCAAGACAGGCAGAGATGGATCTGACTTGTTAAGGCAGCAAAAGATCTACATGGTCTGAAATGCCAACCAATTTTTTTTTTTTTTTTTTTTTTTTTTGGCGATATCGAATAATATTAGACACATACCCCGGCGTTCGTTCCAATAGGCCCTTGGAGCCGAAAAAAATTACGCAGTTTCTAACAAAATATATTTTCCATATTGTTTAAAATGGTTGACCTCTATATTATAATGTCTACTTACACTTAGGTTTATGCCTCATAAGTCAGAAATAATAAAAATCAAAATTAACTTCTGCTTATTATTTATTTGTACGTTTTAAATACGTATAAATTTATTTATACATACATTTAAAAAAAATACTTGGAAAAGAAAAAAATACAATAAAAAGAAAATTTATTTATTAAAAAACATATAGAACAACTATTGAATAAAAAAAAAAGATTTGAAATTCATTCATGACAATTGGAATCAAACGATAAAACATTTAAGATCCTAAACTTTCTCTCCCTACCAACCACTCTATCTGTTGTCATAATCCTTTTAGTTGCATATCAAACATTGAACCAAAATTATTAAATTATATTGACTTGCCCAATATTTTTTAGAAGAATAAAATGTAAGTAATTTATATATTTAACAAATTTTGTAAAATGATTTATATTTATTTAAAAATTGATTAAGAAGATGGTCCTAGCTGTCCTAAAAAGACTAAAATAATAACAAATTATTTTATTTAAATCCTACCTTTCGACTCGACTTTGCAGGTCTTCTTCTTCGGTGGTTGAAACTGCATACAACCCCTTAAAAAAATTTGCAAAATCGGATCGAAATCTTGGCTATAAATAAAATAATTTGTTAATATTTTAGTTGTTTTAAATATTTAGTTGTTAATTAGGGAGGATCTCAGAAGTAGCTTCCACATATTTATTTTGTCAAACTAAACTGTCATTTGGACTTTAATTACCGAACTGCCATTATTGGATCGAAGAAAAATAATTAATTGGATTTAAAAAAAAAAAGTATAGTCATAACCAACACATATATTTTAATTAAAAGTGTTTTTTTATAACTTAATAATTGAAGATAGCAAATCATTAATATTCCCTATAATCAATGGCTTTATTTTATTTCTCACCTTCCTCGCTTTCTTTAGACTATACGGGATTTTCTCGGTCCAGAATAAGATGATGGTGGATCATTGCCACAGTTAAAAATCTACCCAGCAACGGGATTTAAATCAGTAATTGTAATCAATGTATAGTATTATTCGAGAAGACATTTAAGTTGCTAGAAGATAATTTTTTTACATTCAATTTTGGCGTGGTAATTTAGCAATCTTTTTAAGTACAATTTACAATATACACATGTTTATCCATTTTTACTTTTTCCATGTACTGTCCAAAGTTATTTTAAGGAAATTTATAACGAAACAATTATTTGATACATTTACTTTGAAAATTAACTTTGTACATATGATTTGTGATTAAATTATCAAAAACGATTTTTTTTTTTTTTAAGGAACATTTTAGATATAGGTTAGTTGAAACCCATTAACTTTCTTTTAAGATAGAGAAGCTGTACATAATAGAAAAACTCCTTGGTATCTTTAAAATTGTTCACAATGGATAGTGACGATGAGAATAATAATGAGCTTTACGCAGTAAGCTCGGAAGGCCCATTCTTCCAAATCCCAAATCATGAACAACCACCAGATCCTGACAAAATGTTCGCCATTGACAACTGTGGAGATTATCTAGGTCAGTTGATTGGATATATTGGTAAAATTAATTGATATGTGGCATCAATGATTACATATTTTAGAAAGATAAAATTACAATGACATTGAAATAATATAATAAATAATAACGTTAAGTAGGTTTTATTAATATAAACATTGAACCCCTAAGTGAACAAGGTTAAGATTAATTATCATAACACTAGTTTGAGAAAATACCACAACAACCCTATTCTCCAACTATTGCATAATAAAATCTCTTTCAAATTAACGATAATTTTGTAAAATGGGATGGTTTATGTATTTAAGCGCATCAAATGTAAAACCTAAATTTCGGCTACCTTATTATTGAAGTAAAAATTCTTTGTACGCGTTTGTGATTTTTTTGAGGATAGTGAATTAAATTGAGCAGTCAGGTTCCGATGTGTAACGCTCGGATAAAGTCGGCGGGAATCGATTAATTGAACTGTTGCATATGGATTAAAATATCTCAAAACTAAACTTTTCGTTTACCCAATATCTCGCTATTTCTAGCGTACAGGATGGAAGAGTGTTTGTCCTAAAGATATGCAACCAAACATATTCTAACCGCAGTGTGAAGGTAAAGATTCATTCCCTGGGTCCGCCATGGAATAAATTCAACCTGCTCAGGCCATATTTGAATTGGTGACTGCTATGAGTTATTGGAGGAGAGAGGTTGCCATGCGATAACGCGATATATGCGTTCTCTGGTCTCTCGCAAAGTGCAAGACCGTCTAATTGTTGCAAGATCTAGACCAGAACTGGAAAAAAAAATCGTTTATACAATTACTAGACAATTTTAGTTACTACAAGTAAATTTTAGTATGTGGCAACATTTTTTAAAAGATTATTTAATTTCCAAAAATATTATAAACACAATCGTCTGAATCATACCAGTTTTAGCAGCTTTGGAATGTATTAAATTTAATACAATGGTGTTAATAATTGTTTACTTACCAGTTTTCATTGCTTTAGTCAAAGAAATCGTACTCTAATGAATTCTCTGATTGGTTATCACGAAAATTAGTCTAATTCAATTGTGTTATTTGTAATGAACATATTAAAATTTTAAAAAATTAGTTGACATCGATAGGAAAGTCATGCGAGTGGACACACCAGATTTTTTATTTAAAGTATTGGTGACATTGTATAGTTTGTCTTAACTCTACAGTTCTTCCATCCTAAGGTGAGGGCTCACCACTATCTTTCTTGACAATGCCTTTAATATATTGTCAAGTTAATTTTTTTAATTTGATTGGATTTTACTATGTTTCTATCTTGTTGACACTAGAAGCCGAGGGAGAGTCTTGGCCTACTCTAGGAGCTTTTGCCGTCCAACTCGATCCATTGTTGCAACTTCCAGTTAGGTGTTCCTAGTAGTATCCTCGTGTCAGCCGCCACGCTATCTTTCCATCTTAGCCTGGGTCTACCTCTTATCCTGGTGCCGTCAATCCTAACCTCAAGGACTATTTTGAGAATATCACCCTCCTCCATCGGAATCATACGGCCAGCCCAACTTAACCTTCCAAGTATTATCAAGTCGAGAATATTTAAGTCATTATACAAAGTGACCTGCTTTCTTAATTCGTAGTCCAGATATTCTCCAGATTGAGATATTCTTTAAATCACCTTTTCCCTTATATATTAATATTTTGAGCCCCTCTTGAAGTGGTTCTGGAATATAGGCCACCTTCAGTATTATCTCTGCAATCGTTTTGATTATGTTTGATCCTTTAAAATATTTTATAGTACGGATCAAAACTCCATCTGGATGTGTCCATTGATATTGATTTAATAGCTTTCTTATTAGCTTCTTGTTGAATTGAGACTAAATTTGGCATCGGGGCACACTTGTTATAATCTTCAAGACTGCAGAGATTTACTGTCTCATATAGATCTTTATAATTTTTATCAATTTTGGCCATTTTTAAAGGACATGAATGCGTCGGCATTCATAATAGTTTGTAAAAACCTTTCCCTCTTATTGTAGTAATTATATTGTGCAAACTCATACTGATACTGCTCTTGCCGACGACCCCTGTCGTTGTTCGCTCTCTGGAGTGAAACTCCAAGCTGAATACATCTCCCTGAAGAAGACCTGCAAAGTCGGTTCGAAACGTTGGCTTGTAATAAAATAGTTTTACTACTACTGAGCCTATTTATGACCGCCACCCCGAACCATATCCTTCCTTCACCATATATTTAGTTTGTGCTGCATTTAACTCAAGTCACAATAGCGCAGCTGCCTGCTGGATTGCCAGAAAAGTATTAATCAGCTCAGATTTTGTCATTCTCGTTAGCAAAGCCCAAGATGTGGACACTTCTGTTGAGAATAGTTTCTCTTGTCTGTACTACCGAATCTCTTACTGGTTTTTCAAGCCCTAAAATGAAGAGCAGACATGCCAAACCCTTATTGGTTTGAAACTCGCTCGAGTACTCGCCTTGTATTCTGATCACATTCCTCAAATCATACGTGGTCATGTTAACTAGACAGATAAGCTTCTTGGGAATACCAAATTGTTCAAGTTTCTTGTAAATTTTGGAGTGATGAATGCTATCGCACGCATTCTTGAAATCTGCGGAAAGATTTGATCTACTGTGGATTTCTCACTTCTAAAGCCATTCTGGTACTTTTCTACTATTTGTTCGGTAAAGGGACACAATGGTTGAGGAGAATTCTCGAAAGAATTTTATATGTTGTTGGTAGGAACAATCTTCCTCTATAATTCTTGCAATCAAGCTTAACATTTTTTTTTTAAGATTGGGCAAATCATTCCTTTTTTCCATTCTGTTGGCATCTTTTCATCAATCCATATCTCATCCATTAAATTATGAAGGATCTGATACAAGTCATAACCTCCATGTTTGAGAGGCACTACTGTAAGGCCATCCAAACCTGGACTTTTATTGTTTTTAATTCTATGAATCACGTCTAAAACTTCTACGAAATCTGGAGGGGGTTCATTGTCTTCCTTTGGGTTGTCGTTTCTATTTTCCTGCCTGGCAACTTACTATATTTATGCCAATAAAATCTCTATATGTATCTATTCTGTAGCGTTTTTCTAAGATCTAATATGTTTAATAAATAGCAATAAGCTAATAGGTAACTGCAGGACAGACTCGTCTTGGTCTCACATTTGGCCAACACTGTAGTAGTATCACTCCACTTTGATAAGTGGGCCAAGATCTCATAATCAATCTACAAATGGGATTCCGAAGATTGCCTAGTGTGTCCGAAACTAGACGGAGGTGACCGAACATTCTGGTAAGCTCTCGACCTTAACTTAAAAGGACGCTTGGGAGGTTGTTATCCGTTTTATACGAACGTTGCCGAAAGCAGATATGAAATTAAGTCCCAATTTTTCTAATAAGGACCAATCGGGTGATTGCGAAAGTTGTAAATCGTGATCTAAAGAAGGAAGGTTATACTGTGAAAACGTCAATCTTCTGGTATTCTCGGAATCCCATTTACAGCGTGATAGTGAAATCTTGGCCCAATCGTCAAAGTGGAATGACACAGTATTGCCTGATGGTACAGAATATACGAGATACCCTGTAAAAACATCGAACAAGCTTTTTCTTATCAATCATAACTGACTTACAGGTAAGGTTTTTATCGATTTGCAAGAGACTATAAAGGCGCAGGAAAAAAGTAAAAAGAAAACTTATGAAAAGAAAGATGTATTCATGAGAGAAGGAAATAAAGCTTTTAGAGAAAGAGACTATAAGAAAGCCCTCAAAAACTACAACAAAGTATAAACACATTTAATTTGTTGGAGTTTATTTTAAGGGACTGATAATATTAGAAATATTTAAGTTATAACTGTTCAATTTAGGCTATAGATTTAGTAATGGACAGTTGCGTGCTCTATACAAACAGAGCTATGACCTACCTAAAGCTTAAGAAGCCACGCCGAGCTCTTGTAGACGCTAGCAGTGCTTTATATTGGAATCCTGAAAACATGAAGGCTTTAATTTACAAAGCACAGGCATTATACCTGATGGGAGATGTAATGGAATCTGACCTAATTGTAGCAAAAGCATGTGAAATTCATCCAGAAAAAGCTGGCACTATAAAGAGTAAGTAGCATCTTCTTATATCTCTTCTGTTCCACCTTCCTTCTTGTACCATCTGTAGCGTGGAGGGGCCGGCCTCAATCCTCAATAATGGTCCTCGGGAAAGGACCAGAACTTTGCTCTTAGAAGTACGATCATCTCTTTTCGCCAAATTTCCTTCTGCCATTCCAGTAAAACTTGGTGCAGTTTTTCTTTTGTATCACAATTGAGGACGATACCATCTGCATACAAGAGGGACTGACTGAGTATCTTCCTCATAATCCACTTACCGATGACTGTTCGGGTTATTCGTCTTTTTCAAATTTTATGATGAATTTCTTCCATAAGTACAATAAATTTAACTTTGGTAAAAACTTAATAAAGTTTTTTTCATTACACCATTAGAGCTATAGTTTTCGAGTTATCGAAAGTCATTGTATTTCAAACATTTAAAGCCTTGCGATACATACTTATATAAAGTATATATATATATATATATATATATATATATATATATATATTATACTTTATATAAGTTATATCTGTGCAACAGCGAAGATATAAGTTCGCAAGTATAAATACAGTAGGACATAGTGAAGTTGATACACTCCGTAGAAAAATAGACTTGTCCAAATCTTTCCCTCCCTCCATCACCCCTTCTTCAAAATGACAAAAAGAATAAATATTTACTTCTCTGGCTCATATCAGACAGGTTATCGAAGATAAAAGATAATTGCATATAATCAAACATGAAAAATAATTTAAATATAAAATAAAGTTGTCTAACATTTGAAAATCTGTATTTCGTAAACTGTTTAATTTACTCTGCCTGTTCAGGTGTTAAATTGTAGTATATTTAATCTAGTTTAAAAATGTATTGAATTTTTTTTGTCGAAAACGTGTTCCTCCAAGGATAAAATGGAGGAAAACCGAAAAAAGTGCGAAAATATTGCAGTTTTGGGTATATTCAAAAGTGATAAGGGGGAGGGAGAAAGAGGGCCGAGGTCGAAAGCTTAGATGCTCATCTCAGTCACATTCCATACAAAAAAATAAAAAGAAACCTTCTCCCCCCTTTCAATACAACTTACGATATACAAGGTCACATCGGCTATAAATGGTTACATTAATTAAATACAACTAGGAACTGTTCAACAGATGGATTTATAATCTTATTAAATATGTACACACTCAATGAAATTAAATTATTCAACTGTGATTATTTTAAAAAAATAATTAAAAAAACTAGATAATTTAGCTCTCATTCAAAATTATACCCCTCACTTCTTTTTAACTTTAATAAGGCAAGCCATTATTTTCAATCACTTCTTTCAGACTGTTTGTAATCGAACAGTTTTTTTGTTGAATTCTAGACTTAGCCTATTCCACTCTTCGATGTGATGTTTTTTAAACACATCTTTACTAGAAATTGAGTGTTTTCTAATTTCTATCTCCAATTTTGAACACAGGTATTCTATCACATTAAGATCTGTGAATGTGCTGATGTTTTTATTACTTAGGGGCAGTTATAAATTAGCCATTCCCTAACTAACATGGCAGAGTGTTTGGTGTCATTACCCTGATAAAAACCTAAATTTGTTTTTAGCCTCAGATTTTCTGAAATTTCTTTCATGTTTCTTCTCAAAATGTCTATGCAAACATATTTATGATTTCCTATACCAGAATCCTGCGTTCAACCCCTCACCAAGAAACAGAACATTAAACATAACATAAGAACAAAGAAAGGAACATGTTAATAGGATGTTTATTGATTACAATAAATTATTATTGTACCATAATATATACCAACTACTACCAATCTACCTTAGAGTTGTATAAATATTAAATAAAATGTAGTTAATAAAACATATACATACGAGAATTTACTCTCAACCAAATGATCCAGAGTTTCATTTTGGGAAGCTTGGTTTTTTTTTTTTTTTTTTTTTTTTTTTTTTTTTTTTTTTTTTTTTTTTTTTTTTTTTTTTTTTTTTTTATTATAACAGTGATTTTGGTAAGAAAAAATTAAATTATTTTTTTAAAAACTGTTTATGACTAATAATGAGTAGCTGAAATACATACGTTATAATTTTAAAAAACATATATTTTTATTGTTGAGTTTGCTCAGATCACTCACAAAAACAAACATGGACCGTTGAAAAAAATATATTTCGCCATTTTTTGGGGGAAGGGAGGAGTGAGAGGGGAAGCTTAAACCCGAAAAACAAAAATAAGTGCCAACGACCTGGAGAAATGGCCGTCACTTCTTAGCAATTATAAAAAATATGATATAAATTTATTTTAATCTATTAATAAATAAGTAGAATTATACTAAATGAAATAAAATTCAAATATGGTGTAATATAAAACAGCTTAAGATACTCTAATATATAATATTAAAATTTTGAAAGAGATGACGCCATTGCCCGAAATCTCTGATCAAAATGCATAATTATTTTCACTACAGCACACTTCATATATACCTTCAAATAGATCTGACGTGTTAATCGAACTTCATTTTCTTGGTGTATAGCTATATATATAAAAACATATCGCCAGTTTATTGTAAAAATTCATTAAATAACATTTTAATTAATTTGAGATAATCTAATTTGAAGTTTCTGATTAGTTAAAAAAAATACTAAAATAGCAATTTGATTATTCATTTTTTGTTATTTGCAATTCTAAATATGTTTTATATTTTCAAAAATTAATTAAAATACTTAAAATGTATATATATACATGTTAAGTATTTTAATTAATTTTTGAAAATATAAAACATATTTAGAATTGCAAATAACAAAAAATGAATAATCAAATATATATATAAAACAATGAAAATAAAAAGCTACATAGAATGTGAGTTAGAATTACCTCACTGACTCTTAGAATTACTCTAAAGCACAAAAAACAAAACGATTGATATATAATAACCTAAAAATCCGGTACAAAGCAAAGGCTAAAATAAATTTTGTTTGAAATTATATAAAATATTTTTTTCTCGACTCCTAGGACCCATTGGAAAAAGACAACGGGATATATGTCTAATATTTTTCGATGGAGTATTTTAATTTTGGTTGAAATTGTTGATCCTCAAACTGTATCCTCTCCTTGTTAGTGAAACTATTTTTAAAGTATAAAAGGTTTTGTATTATTTGTATACACTTAATGAGTTATTGTATCGATAAATATGATCGTAATTAACAACTAGGTACCTTCAAGTAAAAATCGGCCAATAGTGTACATAGTGACTTTTTGCAATAAATCGATGATATGTTCATTAAATATCATCTTAATTTTAAACAAAGATCACAGTAATTACTAAAAAGGAACTGGTATATCTGTTCTATGAAAGACAGATAGAATTTCCTTATGCATTTTCACTGTAATATTAATAATTACTAGGAAATTTCAAATAGACTATTATTTACCGAATTTAATAATCTCTCTTCTTAATTTATAAATGTTACAGAAATCCAAAAGGAATGGGAGAGTTGAAAAGAAAGGAAATGGGAAATTATCTGTGCATTTACAGTTATTCAGATCTAATTTAGTATTTATGACATGAGAAGAATGTCATGAAATACTTGAAGCAATGGATTGAAATTAAAATAAATATAAATTTTTCTATATATTGTATATTATAGTATATAGTATATTTTTCTATATATTATATTCTGTATTATTGCATATATTATTTTTCAAGCTCTAATTTTGAGGAATGACGTATCTAACAAAACGTCTGCCAAGTTAAGTCAGTATAGCTTCTTGGCCGTTTTCATGGGCCAAAATGTCATCTTAAGCACAAATAGTATAAAAGTTTCAAAATTTTTACATAATACCTTTTTACACTAACAATGGTGATATATACTTATGAGGTATTGTTTTCTCCCGCAAAATGGTTAGAACAAAAAAATCATAGGAATAATTCAAGTTTTTGTTTGTTTGGAGATAACAAAGCCAATACTTTTCTTCTGTCAGAACAAAACTAATTAAGCGGTAATATAATAATGAATGAATGAATGAATGAAAATAATTTTATTATTCTGGGACTAGTGTCCCTTTAGAAAAGTTACAAATACAGAATATATATTAATATTTTGGTGTGTCCATAAAATACAGTTTAATATTTATAGGTTGATTATGAATACAATAAAGTTATAAGTAATAAAAAGATATAAATACGTGTAAATATAAAATACATAGAGAAAGTAATTAAGAAAACAAGATATCGATGAATCACAAAGTAATCATCAGAGTATCTGGGCGTATTTTGAGGTTTTTACAGCTTAGGTTTTTAAGTGCATTTCGTGATCAATCGGATTGGGAATGGAGTAGGCGTTTGAAGAGGAGAGATTTGAAAGAGGATATGGATTTTGCGTGTCGAATATCTGAAGGTACAGAGTTCCAGAGGGAGACAACTTGTATTAAAAAGGATTTATCAAACGCAGCAGTTCGGTGAGGAGGAGGATAGAGGTCGGACGCACGGGATCAGGTGGGACGGGTTTGAAAGGAGCGTTTGAATTGTATGATCTGTAGAATATAGGCAGGTCGCCGTGTTCTAATGGCTTGGTATAGGAAGGTAGCCAGAAAATATTGACGAGGGTAGGACGAAGAAAGCCACTTCAATTTGGTGTAGAACTGAGTAATATGCGTATCTCTTGAGATCCCGAAGATAAAGCGGATTGAGCAATTCATTAAATGTTTAAGTTTAGCTTCGAGTTCTCCCGAGAGTCGACTGTACACCATGTAGTCATAGTCGAAGTGGAGGAAAACAAGGAAGGAGACCAGGAGTTGACGGGTGTTGAATGGAAGAAGATAACGTAGATGGTTAAACTGTTTCAGGATGGATATAGTACGGCGGGAAATTTGGGAGATGTGTGGTAATAATAATAATATGTGTTAAGTTTACACAACTTCGATATTTCAGTAGGAAATCGAGACCACGACGAGTTGGTTGAACTTAAATAGAAATTAACACAATCACAAATAAGACTTTTTTTTTACAAACAGTATAAACATTAGCACTAACCCTCACAATCTCTTAAAATTTCATGAAATTAAAACGCTAGTAGAAATTTTCGAATTTTAGCAGAAACTTTTTTTAACCTCTCACATGAATACTATGCTTCCCTACTCTGGGTAGTGTGGAAGCAAAAACAAATTCATGTATAATGGACGAATCATAATTTTAATTGTCAATTTTTTTTAAAAGGACTTCTCACAGTTGTAGTTAAAGAGTAAATCATCTCACATTATTAAAAGTTACGAAAAAAATTCTAAAAATCCTAGCTTTTGAAAGGATAGGATAATTGATTAAAGGAGAAACAAATAAAAATGCTTATCCAGATCGAAAATGAATCCCCGGAAATACTTGTGGGAAGGTATAGGGAAATACTAGTGGGAAGGTATAGGTATAATATATCTATCGTTGGAAAGCAGAGAATTTTAGAAAAAAAAAAAATCTAATATAGAAAGTTGTAGAAGGTAACAGAGAGTGGCAAAATATTATAAATAATTTTGAAAACTAAAATTATTTAAAATTAATCATGTTTTCCAAAAAATCAAATACAATTTGCTCACTAAATGTAAACTTTTAAACATTTTTTTTAGTTTGAAACAATTATTTAAAAGCCAACTAACATAATGGCAATGCCATTGTTAAAAAAATTATTTCATTGTATTTGTGTGAAATATGAAATCATTTCATGGATATATAAAGCATATGTTTATAGCCTAAAATACATTTACTGTAGTTTAATAATTCTAGATCTGATATGTTATTTAAATAATTAGGCATAAACGTCTGGTTATTCCAAAAAATCGTCATGTAACTTTTTGTAACTAAAATTATCGTATCTTTCTCTAAAGTACCTTTAATTTGGTTTATTATAAATAATAACTATTTCTCATTGTTAGGAGTTATGAAAAAATGCTAACTAAAACTCTTGAAAGAATTAGATAATTGAATATAGGAAAATATATATATATATATATATATCTAGGCCGGAAATAATCTTTAGAAGGTATAGTATATCGTATATCATCGAAAAGCTGTGAATCAAGAAAGAAAAAAAAGCAATATCTAATACAGAAAATTGTAGAAGGTAACGGAGAGTGTAGAAAAAAATATAAATAATAATTTCAAAAAACTAATATTATTTAATTATTACGGATTCAAGGGAACGACACTGTTTAAGATACTATTTCCTTGAACTTGTGTGAATGAAGAAGTGAAATATAAAAATATTTCATGGATGTGTTTATAACCTTAAATATATTTTCTCTATATTTACTAGTCCAAACAATGTCCCAAAGTCAAAAATTGTGTCCCCACCATTTCCATCTATAATCATTCATTCGTCATAGACTATGAATGATTTGACCGCATGAATATAATTAAGATGAGAGCTCTGCAGCTATTCAATCCACTAATTCCTATCGCCCAGGAAAATCTCTTCATGGGCACCTAGAACCCAAGCGACGGCTGCTACTGCGGACTACCAAAAAAAGTTTGGCTACTGTATGTATATGACTGTTTCTTTTCATTTAAACTCTCTGAAAAGAATTCTCAATCATTCTTTCAACCATCAAAATTAGTTTTTACATGGTTGAAATTAAAGTTGATAATTTATGTTGACTTTCCCAACTCTATCGAATTTTACTATGAATTCCCTACTAATTCCTCTTTTTCCCAATCATACACAATCCTTCACTGCTAGAAACAGATACAAAAAATTAAAATACAATTGAATGGATATAACCACCAATTTTTAATGTTTTTAATTTTAATAAGTGTGGATATGGTATAAATATAAAAAGGCATCAATTGTTAAAAATTTATTATGGAGTATAAAAATAAAAGTTTAAATATATTGGTTGTGCATCTAATCAGCGATTTCTTTTCTTTCAGTAAGTGCTCTAGGTTCATGAATAAATACATCCAGATGGATACCCTGAAATAGAGTTTCAAAGTATAACAATTTTTTATATAAATAGAAGTTCCTTAAAAAATTAAAATCAATAAATGTAATTAATTATACACGTATAAAAGGTTTGTTTAGATTTTAATAACTTTAAAGTTCATAGGAATTTTTATTTTGTTTTTTCAAAAGCTAGAAAATGCCATGTTCATCAGTCTTTCTGAACTAATTCACACAGATCACTCAAACTAAATTTTAAAAAGTAATTACTTGTGTTCTTGCAGCTCGAACAAAAGAAGAATTTGACGTTGTGGTTAGAGCTTCTAAAGCTTGACCAGTTCCAAAAACTGCAAGTGCTCTTGCCTTAATTTTACCTTTAATTTTTAATTTGGTATAAGGTACATCATTAACTACAGTTATTCTTGATAATAATTCTTCAGTTCTTTTCTTTTCACCTTCACCACCTAGAATGTCTACTATTGACTTAAAGTTGGACACAGCAGTTTCACAGGCATACAATTCTTTACCTAGAATAAAAAAAATATTATTATGAAAGCCAAATAAAGCTGAATGTGTGATTGAATAAAGGCATATTGATCATTAAACTTTGGCTTCCAATAAAGTGAATAGTAATTTTATGTTAATAATTATCTTTATTACTTTTTTCTTTATCATGAGGGGAAGGATTTCATACCCTGGCTTATAGAGAGTATTTACTTATACATTTCAAACAATGCTTAAACTTTTTAAGACCAAATAATAATAAAATTATCAGTTTTCAAATGAAAAAGAAAATCAAAAGCTAAATATAAATTAACTTCTCTAGAGCAAGAAACCTTACTGCTTATTAAAAATTAAAAAATTGTACAAATAAAAAAAATGCTATGATCAGAGTGCACTTCAAAAAGTTCAAATTCACAAATTATTAAATTATGTTATTTTTATCAATACAGAAACAAAATATAACACAATAGTCGACGATTACAATTTTTATTTGTATATCTTATTCCATGCCATGGTTTACAGCTAGTGTTTACTTCTTTGTACTACAATCCACACCTACTTCTATATTTCAAACAATTCTTAAACTTTTAAGATAGATTAGTAATGATGATACACAAATGGTAATAAAAATGATACATGAATAATAATAATATTCATTTGAAAAATATCTAATTAATAAACACAATACCTTTGAAGACATCATCCAAAATTGGTTTAACAGGGAATTTTCTTTCACTCTCAGCTTGTTGACTTAAAACTTTACCTCTCACTTTTCTGTCGGCATGACCATTAGTCAACGCAGAAACATAGGCAATCATGGTGGGAACATCTAAATTAAGCCTATTTACATCCCTTTAGATAATAAAATAATTACAATTCAATTGAAATACCATAAAAATCAAAACAATATAGCCAACATAATAAATACCTATTTAGCTGATATGGCTCTATCTTCAACAGTTCCAGAGCCTTTTGCTCATTTTCACAATCAACACCTAATATGTTACCAGAAATGAATATACCAATAGAGCTAAGTTCTTCGGCTAAATCAATCTCAATACCTGATGCAAAATAAAATTCAACCTATATTTTATTAAAAAAAAAAAAAAAAAGGTATCAGCAACTTAATCCATGTTTTCAATTATGAGAACTTAATTGATTGTATTAATTATATAAGGCACAAATCATTTGCATTTATTTTATGGTTTGTATAATTCTCCACTTCCCAGTCAAATTATACCAGTAACTATAAATAGTCTGTAAGCTAATTTTAATTCAAAGAGAAATAAAAAAATAATTCTTCTTCTAAACGATGTTAACAAAGTTTCTAATTAATGGTTATCTAATAATTTTACAGACAATTTTTAAACACCCTGGACTGAAAGTATAGGAATTTAGACCTCTTTACAACAACCACCCCACAAACAGATATAAACAGCAAAAATTTTGTCACCAAGTTATAAATCTAATCCTTTGAATGGATATTCAAAATATCAAAATTTCACAGAATTGAATGATGCCAGAATATGGAAAAAAAAAACCAAAACGTCTCTCCTCGGTTTTATATGTTTTTTAAATTGTCAAATTTTAATTTGAAATTCTAAAACTAAATTTTTTCATTGAGTTCAAAGATAAATGCAAAAAACAGCGACATTTCGGCACTTTTTATAGTTTTTTGACCATGACTCCGAAACTATGCATTTTATCGAAATTATTATTCTATACAAAATTAAAGAACATAAAATCTAGATTTTTTGAATCTACGACCAACATATGAGGAGTTAGAGCAGATAACTGTATACTTTCTGTGAGCAAAAAAAGTATTCCTACATCCTGTTTTTGGCCAAAATGGTTCACTATAATTTTTTTAAGTAGAAAAAAAGGCAGATATCAATTACAAACTTCATTCTGTACAATTTTATGTAAACAATTTAAAATCTCATACAAATTTTATAACATTAATATTTCAATAATTTTTACACCAAAAAAGTATTCGTACAGTACAGTAAGTATTAATAATACAATAATTTTTGTTATTAAAACAGTGTTTTAACGTTCCATTTGTTAATTGATAATCCTTTACTCCAGAGGAAGAAAGATAAAACTGCAAAATAAATTGCTTGTTCAGTACTATGGAATATTTGTTTGGCAATGGGTCGTAGGTTCAAAGAATTGAGTTCTAATCTTAAAGATGACATTGTAAAATATTTTCAATATGGTTTAAGATTGCGGAATATTGGAAAGAAAGTTCGGACTACCTCATACCACAGTGCATTCAATTATAAAAAAATTAAAAACGGATCAATGGACAATAAACCCGGCCCAGGCTTATTGAGAACCTTTTGATATTATACGTACAGGGGCAAAAAATCCCAAATAAAGTGCTCGAAAGGTTTCGGATCACATCACATCAGCTTATGGGAAATCTTTAACACCTCAAACCATGAGGAATCGCAGGAAATGTGTGGACTTGTTTAAATAAATTTAAATAAAAGTGAGCAAAAGATAGGAATGGAGGACACACGTATGATTCAGCAGGACAACGATCTCAAACATACAGCCAATAAAACCAAATTACAGCTACTATATAATGTCCGCAAAACACCTCCACAATCACCAGATTTTGATCCAATAGAAAACTAATGGGCGCAGCTGGAATTTAAAATAAGAAAATAATCTTGTTTCTCTCAGAATGACTTAATAAACAATCTTAAAAAGGCTTGAGAAGAAATTGGACTAGAGGAGACCAAGATGGTCAGGGAATCGATGACAAGAAAACTCAATGCAGTCATAAATGCGAAATGCGAAAGGGTATCCTACAAAATGCTAAAATTAATTTAGACTGATATTTATTATATTTTCTTTGGGTTAGTTAAATATCCTAATTTTTTTTTTTTTTTTTTGCACTTCATATTTCAATATTTTGATATTTTACATACAATATGAGTTATTTATTTTCAACTCTCCCCTGCCTCAAGACAATACGGGTATTTACAGCAGTGGGATGTTACTGTTACACAACAACCCACTGCTGCATGTTTCAACTATTACATTCTGTTTCTCATCTGTGTACACAGCTTGCTCTTCTCTTCACTTGTGCCTCGTTTGCTTTTCTTTTATTTATTCTGGTGGTCTCCCCGGTGCAACTTCTCTTCTTCTTCCCAGAGAGAAGTGGATTGGAAGTACAACTAATTTCCATCCGTATATAAAATGTTTGAAGTGCACATATTTATCTATGGCCATATGTTGAGGTAGATCTCTCTCTCTCTCTCTCTGTTAGGAGAAAGAGATCTGTCTCTCTCAACAGTTTCACCCTCAGTGACTCATATACGGAACATGCTCAGAGGTCTCTGGTATCCCAGTATCCCACAACTTGGGCATAGGGGATCGATATTTTTACCATGCTGAACGAGCTTTGCTCAGAAACCCCTATGCCCCATGAGAATCTGTGAGAGCCAGTAGTCCGGGGGAACCCAAATCGCTTCTAGTCACAAACTGGATGGTGGGAAAGTACTTTATACAATCTGAGTTACAAAATTTCACCTTTTTTGTACAATTAATCCAAAATGAAATTTCTAATTGTTTGTTTGTTTGGGCTTTAAGGCGTAAAATCCTAGGGTCATCAACGCCTGATTTCTAATTGTTATCTATAGTTAAAAACGTAAATAAAAATATTTTTGACTAAAAATATGGTGTACGAATACTTTTTTTGGCCGAAGATGATAAATAGTTGACTATTTACGTCCTTGACGCAGCTGTTTTTAAAGTTTTTTTATTAGTGGGGACGTTTCAACCTAAACATGTGGGTCATTATATGGGAAAAACCAAGTGGCTAAAAAAATACAATAAGACAAATAATGGTTAATAATGAAAACTATAGTGATGGATGATACATGAAATTTGTTTATTTCATGTACCATCCATCACTATTATCACCACTCGAGATAATGGTTGATACTGAAAAATTGTGATGGAAGATACATGAAATAGACAAATTTCATGTTTCATCTATCACTATTATGAATCATTATTTGTCTTATAATATTATATATCTGATTGTATTAAACAATTTTTCAGCCCTAATAATGACCCACATGTTTAGGTTGAAACCCAGGAACTAATAAAAATCCTTAAAAATGACTGCGTCCTGACTATTTATCACCTATGATATGTAGATCTGTCAACTAACTTCCTTCAATAATTTTTTAGCCACTGTATTTCACAAGAAACAACTGTTTTTGTAGTTTAATTTTCCCACAGCTCATAATCAATGCATCTCTCGAAGAAATTCATTATTATCTTTTTGAAAGAGCATTAAATTTCCTATAGATCTCATTTAGATAAGTTAATATGTGAGAAATAAGCGGCTGTTGAAGTGTAAGAAATTGAAGGCAGGCGTATATCAGTCATAGTATCTACAGCACTCAACTCGAAACGCGCTTCAAAATCCTAGGGCTCTAATGGCTTTTCACTTTTTCGTTTCCAAAGCTCTACATAAACTTTAATTGAATTGAAAGAGCATCAAATTTTGCTATTGAGCTCGGGCGTAATCGTTAATAAACAAAAATATGAAAAGCCAGTAGAGCTCATTTCTTAATTTTTTTATGATATGATTGGTAGCTCGGTAGTCCATAACTACTTATCCAGTCCGAATAGTCCAGGATGAAATTCTGCTTTGAGATAGCGACTTTCTTTATTAAAAAATAACATATCTCCACCATTTTACAACAAGTATTAAAAAAAAACCAATTTTTCGAACATTCCTCTTGCTAAGGGCTACAAAAAACATAAGAAACGTAATTTTCTATTATTCAATAGTTCCAAAGTTATGAGGGTTGACAGAATTAGAATCAGGAAAATTTCGCTTTTTTGACACCAAAAAGATCAATTTACAGCTTGTTTATCAATTTTTTATCAGGTGAACTTCGATGGAATCCAAAATGAGCATCCTTGCCGATTATATTACTACTAGCAGAATTCAAGAATGATGGTTTTTGACAGAGATATGAGAAAAACAACATAAGACAGAAAGTTCTAGGTGGCCATGTTTGACCCTCCATTTTGGATAGAAGTGGGCATGGAAAATGAAGTGACTTTTCATGGTTTGTTCTATATTCAATGAGGAACTAATCTCCGCATTTACAGTTAATTATGAATTTCCTTGATATCAAAACCTAAATTTATTGGGCTAATAAGAGTTAAATAGGCTCCTATTTTCCAATGGCAATACCTACTTAGATTTTTTTTTCCAAGCTCTTTGAACAAAGAAACACATTTGCAATCTAGAACTCCTAACTTATTTTCCTTCAAATATACAAGATTGATTTATGAAATTACAAAACCAATTCTACAAATCATTTGTCATTGGTGCTTCCTTCAATAAGAATTCTTTAACCATCTTATGCCTCAATCCTATTCCATATATTCCTATAAATAACACTTCCTCACCGACTTTAAAATCAAATAAATGAATATTTTGCCAAATTAATATACATACTTCTCAACAAATATTGTAATTATTTTTAGGAGACATCAATTATTACTTTTTTTTTTTCATTTCATTTCAGTGGCTCAGAGAAAAACAGAGTCAATTTCAGTCAATCTTTATCATATTTTTTCTCTTAGACAATAAAAACTAAATCACAAAGTAATTATTTTGCATTCAACACACCTGATTACTTATTGTTTGCTTATATTACCATCTTATTTTATTGTTTCAAATTATGAAGTATCAACCAATAAAATGCAGAGCCACTAATGTATCATTAGTATTTATATTTCTTATAAAGACATTTTGTACTTTGTAAGCATTTTTAATGTGATATTAATTTTTTTTTTTATGTCAAAATATAAGCATTACTTTTTCATACAATAAAATTACTTTCTTTTTTTTTATTAATAATATAAAAAATTGAAAAATCTAGAAAAAACACAAACTAATTTGGTTCTCACTGCTTGCTTATTATATGTGCCTTTAGGTATAAGAAGGTTGGAGACTCCTGTCTTGGACCATATGCCCAACCAACATCTATAATTATGTTTACCGTGAATATCTACAATATTAAATACATAAAATAAGATATTATATGTGTTGATAGTTGGGTGTAAGATAATTAGTTTATAATTTATAACACCAAATAAATATCTAGCAGTTATTGGATATTTTTCTGATCGGCTTCCAGACCATCTCCTTCTTGATAAATTAAAATACTTCATTTAACCCTCCCCTAAATTTGGCAAAAATATGATGTTTCTAATTAAGTTAAACCTTAAATCTAATAAATTAAACTATACAATTTAAATGCTTAAATATTGTATCCTGAAGAAAATGCACAAGAATAAGTCCATAGTAAATGAAAGACAGGTTGTAGTATACAGATAGCAAAGCTGAAGAGGAATAATTCTTGCTTGGAAACCAGATTTGGAAAGTGACAGCATAGTACAGAGCTACTAGAAATCGAAAAACTTGTCCCCGTGCAGAACCTGGTGCTTGATACGTTATTAAGTATATACAGGAAAGTCTCGATAATCCAAACCTCTAGTAATCCAAAAGTCTTGGTACTCTGAACAAAATAGATAAAAGTTAAAGTAGATTGACAAGTGACGGAATGGAAATGGTTCTGTTTCTCAGTACATATTTCTGCAATTGCTTCGTGTCCGATGGTCAAAGTCGTACTGTAGTGTCTCTAAATCGAAAACATTAAAACTAGGTGGACATCTAGAAGTTGGAGAATCTCTTTATATGTGGTTTTCGCTGCCGAGATCATGAGGGTGTCCAATTTCTGGGAATATATAAGCTGAAAACTCAGTTTTTCTTTAATAATATTTTTAAGAAGTATGATTTTAATGCCAGGTATGGAATACTTATTTCATATTAATTTTTATTTCACTAGAAAATTTCTTTATACCCATTTTATTTTTTATTATACTAAGTTATAGAAACGCCACAAAGGCATCAAATACTTGCTTGGAGTAGAGGAGTAAATATAATGTCTACTAGCAAAGCCAGGTACTTTTAAGGAATTTCATTCAGGCAGGATTTAAGTAAGATCAGGCAATAAATTCAGAAACTCAATTTAGATTATATGATTATTTTCAGAAATAATGTTCTTGTTTGCAATGTGATTATATTTTACTGATAATACATATATTTTTGTTACCTTATGCAATTTCCCCATCATTTTAAATTTAACCTTTGATAATTGAAACAGACCTTGCAATCTACATGTTCAGATTATGAAGGCCTTCTTGTAATTGAAATACAAATAAATAGAGCAACATTCATTTAAGAATTTTTTTCAGCTAATCATAATAAGTTATATTAAAAATCATAAATACCACAGGAGGTTTAAACAAAACAGCATTCTGTTTGGCACACTCCAAGTACTCTTCAGCATGATCTATAATTGATTTTTGTTGATAATCTCCTTCACCTTGAATAAAAAATATATATAGTAATTAAGCAATAATATCAAGATCATATTGAGCACTCTGTGCACAATATCCAAAAGATAGGCAGGAACAACTAATCTCCAACACAATGTAGTTAGTAAATTAAACAGAATGTTTATGAGAGATTAGATTAGTTCTAGTATCTACTAAATTATTGAATATTCTTGTTATATATAAATAACATCATGAACCAATCTATAAAAATAAATGTTAACTGCTCATTGAAATATTGGAAACAGTAGGAATAATCAAGGAGACTGCAGCGGGATGTTATGTTAATCACATATGTTATAATGAAAACTTATGATTTAATTGAACAAATTGGTCATTATTGAAAAAAAAAAACTTGAATCATGGTTTGTGTTAATAAAAATAACAGTTTTAATAAAAGAATATCAGTGCTCTATTCTTTATTTCTTCTTTATTTTGTGCATGCAAGTAACATGTTCTGACAACTATGACAGGACTTAATTTTTTATGTTTAAATAATTAATTATTTGTGATGCTTTTCTGTAGTTAATAAATCATGGATCAATTAAAGAAGAAAAAGAAACCTTTTCAATTGCTTTCTCAAAATTAGCTGATAAGTTGGAGTTAGAACTTAATTCGGAGCTGGTAAATATTGAACGTACTAAAATTTATTTACAACAATTTATTGAAAAGGATAAAAAAATAAGTGAAGTTCAAGATGAATTAATGATTTCTGATGGTAATAACAGAACAAATTAGTAATCAAGAATATAAGGATACAGATACAATTAATAGCAGATGCTTAGAGCTAAGTGTTAAAGTACAAGTTTTAATACAAAGCAAAGTTGGTTCGGGCTAAGAAACCTCTGCTAAAATTTGTTCTGTCGTAGATGTAAATTCTTTAAAGAAATCACATAAGTTACCTAAACTTGAAATTCGTAAATTTGATGGAGATTTAAAGAATTAGTTGAGCTTTTGGGGACAGTTCAAACAAATTTATTTTGATGATAAATTAATTCTAGAGAATAAATTTCAATATTTAATCCAGAGTTATTGTGCCTGACTCAAAAGCTGGCATATTAGTTAATAGTTATCCACCAAGTGGAGAAAACTATCCCATCATTGCAAGGTTTCATTTTTCACATCAAAGTCATTGCACATTTAAAAGATCATTTTGAATGCTCAGATTTATTAGTTCAGGTGCATGTACGTGAATTAATAGCTCTGGTTATGAAAAATGCACTTAAAGGTGAGATGCATCAGAACTTATTTATTTTATATGACAAGTTAGAAAGCCATTTAAGAGCATTAGAGAGTTTAGGTCATAAGAAAAAGAAATTCACTGATTTTTAGTGCCCATTGGTAGAGTCATGTTTGCCTAAAGAATTATTGCTCTTTTGGGGAAGAAGTTTCAGTCAACATGAAGAAGTTTTAGACATTGAGAACTCGAAAACCCATTTAGAAAAATTGAAGGATTTTCTTAGAAATGAGGTGTACACAGAAGAGTGCATTAATTTAGCTTAGAAGAATTTAGGGTTCCAAGAAGAAAAGAAAATTAAAAAGAAAAGAAGTAAAATTAAAAAGCAAAGGTTTGAAAATTTCAACTGATGTCGACACTATTGCTCCTTTGTGACATTCAAATAAATATCAACAAGCAATGCATAGAAAAACTAGTTTAGGTTATATTTTTTGCATGAAAGCACAGATATTCAATCTTGTTATGAAGTGCGCAAGATGCTCCCTGAAGATAGAGGAGTTGTTTTAGATAGAGAAGTTTGCTTCATTTTCATGAAAAATGGTCATAATACAAGATATTGCAGAAAATCGATGCAGTGTTTAATTTTTGGTAGGAAGCACACTACGATTATATGTCCAAATTTAGTTCGATCCCAGTCATCAAATGAAGAATCAGAAGACGATTAGAAGATAGTGGTGAAGATTTCAGTTTCCACGGATCTTTCAAATCATTTAAGAGTGCAGGTACTATTGGAATCTTTCTCACAAAATTAGAACATAGAGGGAGAGAAACTTTAATCAGATGCTTAATTGACACAGGATGACAAAAATCATACATTTAAGAGGGACATATGGAAAAATGAATTTGATGGTGAACAGAACATTTGGTGGTGCAGAAATGAAGCCAAAAAAGTATAAGGTTAATCAAATTTATCTGTATAGTATGGATGATTCCTTCAGGTGCAACTTTGAAGCTCTTGTTCAACCAAGTATCTGTGATGTGGTGGAGGTGTTAAATACATGATAGATTAGAAACATTTTTAAAAAACACAGTATTCAGGTTGCAGAAAACCCAGATGATTCTAAAGAAATACTGTTGCAGATTGGTGCAGATATGGCTGGTAAGCTTACTGAAGAGTTCATATCTTTAGGAGATTTAGTTGCTATTGGGACTAGGTTGTTTTGTTATAGGGATATTGAAACGAGCTTTCCCTGCACAAAATCGTTCCACCTCCAGTACTTTGACTATGACTTCAGCCGAGACAAGTCTAAATCCAAATCATGACAGTTGGATTACCCACCAAATTATTTTAAGAGAGATGGCGAGAGGGACTGATCTGGCTACAACAGTCTGAAGATAAAGGGTCTGCTTTTTAGACTTGTGAAAGGTTGTACCATCTTAAAATGGCTGCAGAAGAGATGCCAGTGGAGAGAACTAGTGACCTTAGCAGAGGAACATAGTTTCACTATAGATGTTACAGAGGACTTATTAATGAGCGATGGTGTTTGAGTGGGCCACTCAAAGGTGGAAGAATGTTGGAAACAGTAGGAATAATCTAGGAGGCTGCAGCGAGATCTTACATTAATCACATATATTACAATTAAAACATATGATATAATTGAACCAATGGATATTAGTGAAAAATAAAACTTGAATTGTGCTTTGTACTAATAAAAATAATATTTTTAGTAAAAGAATATCGCTATATTCTTTATTTTGTGCGTGCAAGTAACGGAAACTTTCATAAGAAATAAATAATGTTAGATTTTTAATTTTAAAAAGAGAATTTTTTTTGGAAATAGAATACTGGTTGGACGAACTAGGTTCTTCAGTTATCAACTTGAAAGAATATTACAATTTTCATTTTTTAAATATTGAACAATTAAAATCTTCAAGAGGCTCTCCTGAAAAGTAGCCACTTTTAACTTATACTCTTTAAAGTATAACATACAGATATCCAATTGGACACAATGTTTGCATTAACAACCTTCAATTATCACAATCCTCTGATAACTCTTAGATTATTAAGCATAATAACAACAAATAACATAGCTTACAACACTATGAATTAATTTAAATGCCTAGACTTCCTATATGTTTACAACATCCCACAAAATCTGTAAAGCAATGAGTTGAATTAAATACAGTGATTAAAATCAAGCAATGTAGCAATCAAAAACAAATAATTAATTAAATAAAAACCAAAACTATTAAATTAAAGAATACCTTTAAATATTTGGCTCAATGCTTTTGGATTTCTTGCAACTACTTTTATCCATTTTGTTCTTTGTTCAGTAACAATATCTACATAAATTTTTTTCTTTCCAACTAAATCACTATCTAAATGGAAAAGCTCCAAGATTGAAACACAATTTGGATCCTTAATAACACAGTTAACAAATGCTTCATAATGATGAAGATTTGATGAGGAGATATGTTCCTTCTTAAGTCGATTTGCTTGCTTGGCCTAAAATGAAACACTACATAATGACAAGAGCAAATAAAATATAATAATTCAACTTTGCCAGACATACTTTCTCCAGACAAAATATTTCTTGCTGAATTTTACTTTTCAGTTTATTAGAACCCTTAATAGAAGACGGTATGCTGTCCAGTAATTTTAAAAGCAAATTACCTAATTCTATGATTTTTTCATACTCAGTATCACACATATACATATTACATTCCATTGTAATATATTCACTATTTTGAGATAATTAGGTTAAAAAACACACACTTCAGGAAAAAATAAAATTATATTTTCAAATGGTATTAACAGCATCAAGATATAAATTTCAAACTTAAAAAGTATTTAGCTAAAGATAACAATTTCAATTTAATCAACAATTACAGACGTCGTTGGAAAACGAATAAGTCAAATTCAAAGAGCTGTTACTACCAAGGTCTATACAACTACCAGGTTCCCTTAATCAGAAATGTGTAGTGCAGAGACTTGAATCATGATGTAAGGGCTAGATTGCCAACATACGTATTTAGTTCAGTCAATGAATGATTATATACAGACATGGAAGGGACACAATTATGACTTTAGGACATTGTTTGGACTAGTAAAAAGGTAAACATACTAAAAGTCCCCACTCCTAGTTGGTGAGCCAAATGTGGAAGGGGGCTAGGTCACTTTCTTTGGACTTTTCGTCATATCAGGAAAACTATTCATCGCAGCGAAAAGACGTTCTATACAAAATTAAAGCTGATAATAATTTAAATATCATAACTTGTTTCGCTACATGGCTTAGTTTTCGAAATATCTGTCCTCAACTATCGCAAATTGTGAAAAAAAAATGCTTCCTGTTTTTTTGCGGTAGTTGGCCAGTTAATTCTTGATTGCAACGACAAACTCGTGACTTTTTCGAGCATTTATTGACAAGACTAATTGCTCTTTCGCGCCTATCACTGAAGATTTATTTAAATATTATTGTACTTTTTTTTGTTCTCTTATTTTATTTATTGAAGAGATTGAATTTTATTTCTTGTTGACGTTGGATTGAAGAAGATTTCAAGTAGGTAAATAAATAAATAGGATTAGCAACCAAGAATCAAATGTTATAAAAATCATAGGCTAATCTCTAAAACCGAGTGTTACGGGATTAGAGGTTTTGCTCAGTGGACGAAGAAAAGCAGTTTTACAGGTACTGGGGATAGCGGAACTTAGTAATGAAAAGTTATAGATATGATAAAGGATAGGAGAATGGATGAAAGTGAGAATTTAATTTATTTAACTGAGATATTATCTGGTCCGAAATCATTGGTTTGGGATGTACGAATGGATTTAAGGAAGTCTTCAGGGTTAATAAGAGAAAAGAAAGGTTAGGATTTCTACCATAAAATCGACGGTGATAGAGGAGTATATGGAGTCTCATCGGATTACGTCAAGATCAGGCGTCAGAATTTCGGATGATCGGAAATTAAGGTTTTTAAATGATATGGGTCGCAGAGAGAATAGTAAAACAGGAAGATTATAGATGATTCTATGAGATCGTGAGCAGACAAAAAAAGAACCGGACATTGTGATGAGGCGAGGAGTTTATCAGGAGAATTTATAACGGAGAGATCGAGCAAAGAGTCGGAGGAGTGGGAGTGATATGAAGTGTTGTAAGAGATTATATACAGATTAAGGGAGCAGAGGAGGTTTGATAAGTAAGTTTGATCAGAGTAAGGAAATAGGTTGGCTTCTAGCAATATTAGAGTAGGAAGTGATCAGTTCGTGAAGGATGGCCTCGAGTGATTCATTTACTCTTGAGAATCGATAGATGACACTAAAAAGTAATAGATATGAGGAAATGGATATTTCAGCAAAAAGATATTCCATATGTGTAGAAACGGAAAGAGGGGATAAAGCAAGTATTTGAGATTTCAGGCTACCGTGGCCAAAATGGACTACGCCACCACCGGTTTTATTTACTTTATCGTAACGGAATAGAATATAGTTAGCGAGTGAAACTTGGGATCGTGGGTTTCAGCCAGGTTTCAGAGACAGGGAATTGGTGGTAAAAATTGTGGAGGAAGAAATCATGGAATTTATCAATGTGGGCTAAAAATGACTGTTATAATATGACCGGATGTGCATTGACATGACTGGATAATAGTCATAGGAGATAGTAAATTGGGATAGTGAACCGGTAGGAGGAACAAAAGATACGGGAATAACTTTTTTTTTTTTTTTTTTTTTTTTTGATGATATTTACAACTGTATTACAAGTAAAAACACATTCAGTAAATGATAATGAGGAACGGATAATGAGGAAGTATGTAGGGTGTAGGAATTTACGGAGTTTGTAAAGCAGTCCTGGGTGCCAGACTCGATCAAAAGCCTGTTCTACATCGAGAAAGACCCACGTGCAGTACATTACGCTCTCCAATGCAGAGGAGACAACATCCACCACACGATGGCATTGCTGGATAGTGGAATGGGATCTGCAGAATCCAAATTGATGATCTGGGATAATGTGATTAGAATCTAGTATGGGGTACAGGCGTTTTAGGATGAGCTTTTCCAGGATATTGCCTAGGATGGGTAAATAGGTGGAAATAACTATGTTGGCTTGATACAAAATACACTGAAAACGGTAGTAACTGGGCTAATGAAAAGTAGAGACTACAATAAATATATAGAAAAGATTATCTAGATATTATCCTATTATTAGTGGAGATAAGAATAAAAAAAACCAGTGAGTCTCTATAAAAAGAGAACAAAAACATATTCTGATGAAATATAAATAATAATGATAATAAAACTAATTCCAATACTAATAATAAAACTGATCAAAATATTTACTTCTTCTTGTGAACTGAAATATACACAATTACAAAAGTAAACGAAAAATTTAAGCTGTAAAAATTAAGTAAACAGAAAAAAGTATTTGGAAACCAACACGGTGGGATGGAGGAACGAGACCAAAGAAGTAAAGCGAAGACGTCAAGATCAGAAGATGAATTTACGACTACGGCCTGACTGTCAGTTCGCTGGCACTTAACTTTGCCATCACCAATCCAAACATACTTTATTTTTCCAGCCGCATTCCTTTGTCTGGCTAGCAGTACTGGCTAGATTTAGTAAATTAAAATTTAGTAAATCACTTAAACACGAGGTTACTAAAACATTTATTGATAGAATTGTGTTTTTCTTAGAAATCTAATTTCACAACTAAGTGTCATTTACTAAGTTCTTATTTTCATCACAAGGCTCTAGCAGATCCAGGATTTATTTTTTGGGGGGTAGGGCTTCAGCCTGAAAGTTGTTTTTTTTTTTCATAAAAATAACGATAATTACTTTGGTAAAAAAGAAAGAAACTAACTACCTGTATGAAATGGTGTTTAAGTGATTCCTAAAGACCTTAATTCCTAAATAACACTTTAAGAGATACTTTTTAAAAAAAATTTTCGATAAAAAATGGTTATATTTCACCATTTTGGGGGGAGGGCTTCAGCCCGAAAGCCCCCCCCCCCCGCAGATCTAATAAATAAAATTGCATTGCGTGTCACAAGGCATGGGCTTACGATACTTAACAGAGTTCTCAAAGTTCTCAATGTCCCGCGGAACTTGGTGGAGGTCCAAATGTGGCCCGTGTGTCAAAATGTTTGAAGACCCCTGGGTTAAATGATTTAAATTTAAATATTTTTCTATTGGAGTTGGTCACCTCTCCCTTTCCCCTCTCCCAACCTTCGACATCCCAAGAAATTAGCTTGTTATTATTTTTCCTTATGCATATCTTATTAAAATATGTGATTTTTTATAAATTAGTTAACATGGACTCTTGATAAAATTTTTATCTACCTATAAATTTGTGTGGAAGTAGTGATATAATATTTCTTTATTAAAAATAAAACCGAAGGGATCTGCAATGTCGTTTGCAATCGACATTCATGTATCGAAAAACAAAAATTGCAAAACAAGACACGCATTTTATAAAATAGTAAACGAGATTTAATAATATTTTTGTATTATGTTTTAGTATTGGTCAATTGGGATTGAGTACTGAAAAAATTTACTGGAACTGAAATTCAAAAAATGAACAACACTGTGATCACGTGGAGAGCTAAACATTGGTTCAATTTCCATGATGCTGTCAAAACATTGTAATATGAGTTCAGTTATATTCAGTTCTTTCTGTGTTTATGTTAGTGAAATAGTCATTTATTGATTTTATTTCCAGCCAGATAAAATGTATTCCACATTTTTTGTTTCTCAGTATGCTGTATTAATACAGATTTGATAAAAGTTTTCCTCCACTCCATTTCAAAATTATTTATTTTTTTTCGTTAAAGGTATGTAACAGTTTTAAGTCACAGTACTTACATTTTTATTTTTAATCATAATTTTAAATCAGTTTTCTATGTTTACAGCAATATGAGTTCAGTTACCAGACTCAGAGCACCACACAAGATTCATGTCTTGTCTTGGGCTCTTGCCCTGGAAAGAGATGGCTCAGTAGCTTGTCATTTTAAGGATTGTCAATTTATGGCACTAACTCTAGAAGAAATGGGAAACCATTATCCATTTTGTGCTTGTGTTAGTATTCTTGTTTAAAAAATTACTCTTAATTACTTTTTCTATATTTTTAAAAGTTATCATTGGTTTATTTATTCAGGAAAACAACAAGTATCCTTTTGTCTGTGAAACATGCAGTCGTCGTACTGACGCCATGGAAAAATTACTTCTACATAAATTATACTCACATTCTTACAGACCGACTGATGAAGAATCCTGGTATGATAAACTATATATTCTTTATTGTGGTAGAACTTTCTCTGGCATTTCAGTTTAATGCTAAATGTTGACAAATTTTATTTTTCAGTAAGATTGATGATTACCTTAAGACTCCTGTCAAGAAAGAAATAACATCTGTTCTGAGACGTTCATGGGAAATTTTTCTTGAGAAAAAAAAATACTTAAAATGTTTGAACAGAAAATGTTTGTTTGTTACCGATTCAATTGCAAGCATGGAAGATCATTACCTCAGTTCCTGTAAGGTAAGATAAATATTTTCTTCATTTTTTCTTGATTCTGATTGTTTTGAAATTTTATATAAATGAGATTATTGAATAGATTTGGCCTAATCTACTTAATAGTTTTTTACATGTAATTGATCTGTATGTAACACAATATTTCACTGATCTCACATCTTAAACCAACTTATCTATTTAAGTATTTGAGTGGAATGACTGGGAAAACATCTTAACAATTGAAATTGATATTTTTTGTCTTATTTGATCAAAATAAATTATTCTATTTATTATTACTTTTTAGAATGATAAAAAAAAAAAAATAAAAAAAAAAAATTAATAGAAAAAAAATCTGAAATTGTCATTTTCAATTCAATAACAAACTTCTGTATCTATTATCATCGAGCAGTAATCATTTGGGGTAAGGTCACTTGGATGTTTATTTAACTTGATTATGTGTTATGATAGTTTTAATATTAAACATAGACACCTCACCTCGCCTTACTTAAATTAAAAGTTATTTTGATATTGGTTTTATATGTTAGAAACTGTTTGAGTAAAATATTTTACCACAATATTTGCAGTTTGCTGTAGATTCTTAAATTTTATATTTTCCAAATTTTAAGAATTTTTATTAAATTAGAGGAGGATTCAACTCCCTCTTATACAAAATCAGTATACTATAAATAGGTGATTGGGGTGTTACGGGAGTTTTCCATCACTGCTCCAACTGTGTCAGCTCCTGGAAAATCACAGTGACAGATCAGTGAATTGTCACAGCAGTGATTTTTTACTTATATATTTTTTTTTATTTATTTTTTTTTTTTCTTCCCTACTTCGCCTATTAGACTACACGGGATTTTACGGTGGGAGGGGATGAGGGCGGGGAATTTAAAATCCCCTCCGGTACCGGGACGCTAACTCATAATTTTTAAGTCATCTCAAATCTCTGTTATCCGGTTGCCAGGCAACTAGCGGTGCTGTGCATACGCTTTAGCCCATTCGGCCACCCCGCCCTCTCACTTACCTATATAAAAAATATATAGTAAGGAAAAAAATTGCGATTGTGAGATTGTTTGAATCTGAGTTTTCATCAGAAATACATGTTGTGAGGTCTCCCCTGCTTCTAAATTACCAAGTCTCGCAAAATGGTCTGTGTGTGTGTGCTCGTACATGCCAGCTTGCATGTACCCATGCAGTCTAGCTCAAAACCTAAATTGAAATTACGTAATCAAGATTTGTATATACCTGGGATGTTACAGCAACTTTTTTGTTTAAATCGCAAACCGGAAGTGGCACTTTATATCATCAATTTAACACATTTTTATGATTTCCACAAAAATCGCTCCAATGGTTTTGATTAAACTCATTATATTGTTGGACAATTAAGTGTTTTTTGTCATTTAAGGTAGGTTTTGTCCTCATTGATGTTCTCCAACAGGGCATAAATGTAGATTTATGGCAGTGCTACAACAAAAAAAAAATTGGCGATCACTGGACCAGGCGTGTAAATTTATTTTATGAAACACATCTTTTCATAGTTCATACATCTTGTCGCCCAATTTACCTGTGTAAATTTATTTTATGAAATGTGTCAAGATCGAGTTACATATTGTATTATTAATTATTTACATTGGTAAATCTCGGGACAAGCTTTTATATCATATAAATTGTATGATGTTATAAATTAAAGGATTGAAAGCCCTTTGCCATTTGTTTAAAGAAAATTGCCACAGTAAATTAGTGGAGCGATTAAAACTTTTTTTCTATATTGAAAATTTCACAAATATAGAAATATGTTCCCTTCATCAACAGCAAAACGGTTAGTCTTAAAAAAAAAAATGTTATTTATGAAAAATGTACTTTCATATCATATAAATTGTTAAACAGTTAAGAATCACAGCAAGGGCGATTTTCGCGTAATCGATAAATTTCAATATGAAAATGTGGCTCCTTTCATGTGCTCTCTAGCGGCGAAACGGTTAGTATTTCAAATATAGTCAATTTTGTCAAGAATGAATTTGTCCAAAAAATACTTTATTTTTGAGATACAGACCGAAAACTGAAAGGAGTGTCAAAATTTGGTCAAAAAGTGTCCAAAAAACAAAGTTCCGGGCAAAATTTTTGCCAGCAAACTTCAAATTCGTATTCAGCGACCCAAAAAAGTTAGAGGGTGAGAAAATCAAAACTATAGCAAAACTTGTTTCTGAGCCACCATTTTTTGGCTAATATTCCTAGCCTATTGAATGATAAAGAGATGAGATATAATGGGAAGTGAAGGGCATGTTATATGTTAAGTACTTGGAATACTAAAGCACAAAACTACAATATTAGTGAACACAACTGTTTTATTCATCATCAAAAATCACACTGTGTGGTTAATACCACTCAATCACTAATTGGTATAATCGATATATCACAATTCCCCCCTTTCTTAAAAAAGTGTATCATAGTTACAAAAATAGAAACATATATGAAACATGAAAACATTAGAAACATGAAAAAAATTATCAAAATTACATATAAGTCTTGTATAAAACTAAGAACACAAATAACTGAGTCTTCTGCAGCTCTCAAGGAGGGCTCCCACTTCCATGACTGATTATTTGGTTGCTCTCTTGTTGATTTATAGAAATATCCTCTTCTCTTATTTTTTTCCCAGGGAGAAATCTGACGATTTGGTCCAATGGCGTTTGCATGTAATACCATCGTCTGTTTCAACTAAAAATGTTACAGGTGACAGTTGCTTTTTTATTCTTCCTCGAGTCCTCTTATTTGCGGCATTTACACTAAAATCATCTACCATTACTTCATCATTTACCTGAAAGTTGATACAACGGGATGATTCATTTCTTAAGAGGGATTGGCACTACTTAAGTTCCACATCATTATTCACATTTGGTTTCAGAAGGTCAAATTTCGTTTTAATTTCTCTTTTATACATAAGATAAGCTGGTGATCTTTCGGTAGTAGAATGCTCTATTCGCCTGTAGTCTAAAAGAAAACTGTCCATAGCATACTCGACTGATAGCCCAGATTTTAACATCTTGCACATTTTATCTTTGAACGTACCAACAAAATTTTCTGCAGCTCCATTTGTTGCTGGATGTTTTGGAGGTATTACTGTATGCCTTATACCATTCCTTTTCAAAAAGTTTCTGAATAAACTGCTTGTGAATTGGGGTTCTCCATCAGTAACCAAATGATCACACAATCCGTGTCTGACAAATAACTTTTTGAAGATTTGAATAACCTTCCAGGCTTTCATATTATCTCTCATGTCAAAAACTTCTGGCCATTTGCTGTGGGCATCTATGACAACTAAAAACATCCTATTTCGTAAAGGACCTAAGAAATCAGCGTGGTCGAGACCAAGCTTTGCTTGGATAAGACCACTGCGAATTCGCAATTTTGGTTGGATTCTTTTTATTCGCTACACAGGTGAAGCAACTTCCAACGTAATTTTCAATATCTAAATCCAAGTTCGGCCACCAAAAATAAGATCTTGCCATTTGCTTCATCTTAGTTATACCAAGGTGTGATGTGTGTAAATGCTTCAGTAAGATAAGTCGAAGTGATTCTGGTATAACCACTCTTATTCCCCACATGAGACATCCTTTATCCAGCGATAATTCTAGTTTATTTGAGTAAAACTTCTTTTCGATTTCAGATAAATTCTTATTTTCAGTTGGCCACCCCGCGGCTACCCAATTTATCAACTTGCTTAATATTCTATCTTTCACTGATTCAGTGACCACTTGTTTGTAATTCAACACAGGCATCCCTTCTTCCACATAGTTAAGAGCTGTAAATTCTGTATCAAATACCGGAGTGTGGTCATTCAAAGGCAATCTTGACAAGGCATCGCAGTTACCGTTTCCTGAGGACCTTACGACTTCTATACTGTAAGTGAATCCTGAAAGATAATAAGCCCATCTTTGTAATCTATTTTGAATTGTGACAGATAGATTTTTGTAATTTCCAAAAATGTATTTCAAAGATTCATGGTCTGTTCTAAGACTTATGTGAGCTCCATAGACATACTGGTAAAATTTCTTGAAGCCAAAGATGATGGCAGCAGCTTCTTTATCAATGATAACCCTATGCCTCTCAGTTACCGGAATTACTTTCGATGCAAATGCTATGGGTTTTTCCTCTCCATTCTTGAATTTATGGGAAAGGATCGCTGACAGTCCGTATTGACTGGCATCACATGACAGAACTAATTGTTCATTCGGATCAAACAATGTCAATACCTTGTCGGACACGATTTGCCTCTTGATCCATTTGAAGCTTTCCTCACATTCTTCGGACCAATACCACTTTTCTGACTTCAGCAAATCATAAAGACAACTCAGTTTATCAGCTCTGTGCTTCAGAAATGATTCAAAATAATTCACCAATCCAAGAAAACTCCTTAACTGTTTGCAATCTTTAGGCCTTGGAGCACCCGTGACTGCAATAACCTTACTTTCTGCTGGATGAATTCCTTGTTTATCCAGAACAAATCCTAAAATATCCAACTTACTTTTTAAAAATTCACACTTTCTTTCATTTACTTTTAAGCCTGCTTCATTTAAGCGCCTAAATATTTCGGTTATGATAGAAATGTGCTCTTCATCTGTTCTACCTGTACAATAAATATTATCTATGTAAATTTCAGTGTAAGGAATTCCTTTAAGTATTTCCATTAAAATTTCCTGACATTCTCCAGGGCTGGACGCCACGCCCTCCAGTAGTTTGGTATATTGAAATAAACCTTCATCTGTAATAATCGTTAGTGCTTCTTTAGAACTTTCATCAACTCTGAATTGCATAAATGCATGTGCTAAATCAATCTGAGACCATTTACTACCTACTTGTAATTTACTAAAAATCTCTTCTTTACTTGGCACAGGTTGACGCTTGATAATTAAATATGGATTGACGGTTAACTTAAAGTTACCACACACTCTAACTTCCCCATTGGATTTTAGAACAGGCACTATAGGTGTCGCCCAACTACTAACCGTCACAGGCTCTAGGTTACCTACGGAAATTAATCTTTTTATTTCTCTTTTTACCTTGTCTTTAAGTGCAAAAGGCACCCTATGTGGTTTTAATTGTAAAGGCACTGTGTCTTTTTTAAAAATTAATTTAACCTTTTTTCCTGTATAAACTCCTTGCCCTGGACTAAATAATGTCGGGAATAATGACTTAATCTTAGCCATTACTTTCTCACTTGTATCCTCTGAATTACAATAATTTAATTCTTGTTTGAATGGCCACAGGCCAAGTTTGTTAAGCCAGCTTCTTCCCAACAAAGAGGGACCTCTGCCTGGTAAAACATAGCATTTTACATCATTTACTTCCTTATCATTAAATGACACTTTCAAATTTGTTAGCATCCCTATAGGCTTCAAATCGTTTTTACCATATGTTGTTAAGGTTAGGTCAGGTTCGATCATTGCTGTATGTGAAAAATATCGATCTTTCGATTCTTTTGATATCACTGTTACATATGATCCAGTGTCTACTTGCATTGTAATTTTAACTCCATTTATTGACAAATCAATGACCAACGGTTCCGCCTTGGATTCCATATTCATCGAATTCGCATTCAATAGTTCAATGTCCCCTAAAAGAATTTGTTCTAAGTGAAAAAATTTTTTTTCATTATTACTATCGTCTTCTGTTTTTATGCCCTCTTCTAAATAATTTACTCTTTTGTTCCGTTTTTTTAGACACATTTTTTCCAAATGCCCCCTGACATTACAAAAGTTACACACTTTAAATCTGTGAATACATTCTCTACCATAGTGACTGCTAATCTCACCGCAACAAAAGCAACTAAAATTGTTTTTATTGCTATTAAATAATGATGGATGTGTATTACCCTTTTTAATTAAGTCTTCTTTACACTGCATCTTCCCATAACTAGACCGCCCTTGAGTTAATTCTAGACTTCTACCTTTAGGTGATTTGTTGCTGTCTGTATTTCCTCTGATATAGTTTACCTGCGAGCACAGGTTATCCGATGAGTTGCTAGTGCCTGCGGTGTTAGAAGCACTTTCCATTGCTAGTTCCCTGGTCTCTGCGATTTTCAAAGCATCTGAAAATGAAACCTTCTCTTTTCTAAATAATTCAACTCGTGTCTCATGATTCTTTATACCGCAAACAAATTGATCTCTTAGTGACATCTCAACATCGGGAAAGTTACAGTGCATAGATGCTCTTTTCAAACGGGTTACAAAATCATTTATTGTTTCTGACGCTAATTGATATATATTGTTAAATTTATGTCTTTCTAATAGTTCCGAAGATTTAGGATTTAAGTGCTTAGATATTAAAGAAACAATTTCTTTAAATGAAAGGTCCTTTAGGTTTTTTGGTATTGCTAAATTTCTAATAAGAATGTAGGTTTCTGCACTCACCTTTATAAGTAGTTCTGGTACATACTTACTTTCTTCAATATCATGTGCAATGAAATAAAGTTCTAACCTTTCAATAAAAGTGTCCCAGTCATCCTCATGTAAACGAAATTCAATTTTACAGGTCTCCATCCTGTAGCTTGCTCCTTTATTCTTTGTTTTAACTTGGGTTACGTTTTCACTAATTTCCTTGCTTTCTTCTTTATTTTCACTTCTCAATTCCTGCACTAAAATTTGCCTTAACCTATGTACAGAATCAGCCTCATCAAAAACCAAACCTAATTCTTTTAGTTTTAAAATCAAGTCTTGTTTCTTTAATTCATACACCCACGAAGTACCTTTCTTCATTACTTTTATCCTCGTCGCCAAATGTTAAGTACTTGGAATACTAAAGCACAAAACTACAATATTAGTGAACACAACTGTTTTATTCATCATCAAAAATCACACTGTGTGGTTAATACCACTCAATCACTAATTGGTATAATCGATATATCACAATTATATGTGTATGCTTCATTGTGCTGATATAAAAGTTAATCATCTTGCAAATCAGTCAAAGAATACCAAGTTTGATCATTCCAATTAATAACTGATGAGTTATGTGAAAATTTAATTGATACAAGAAAATGTAAGATAATGGCAAAAAATGAAACTAGAGTTATTTGAAACTGCTACATTAATAGTATGAAATAATATTTTTTTAAAGATATAACAATCATTAACTAGCCTATTATCATTGCTTGAGATTTGGATAGTAGTTACTTTGTTAAAGAATTACAATGAGTTAAGTATCCATAGATTAAAAAAAAACTGATGACAACTTTTCAAAAAATACTAACTAGTTGCTGTCTGGAATGTTTGGTGGTCTACAGGGAAGGCCCGACAGGTGTTTAGATGGTATTAAATCAAAGTAAATCAATTTTATTTCGCTTCCCATTTTGTTTAAAATCAATTGTAAGTACATTGTCTATTGGACAGGATTCTATCCATTCATCAGTTGAATAAGGTTTTAGAGGAACATAGAGTGCTCCTTAGGATAGCATATCTAGAAGGCTACGAATTGTTATGTTCATAGAGTTATTTTTACTCAGTACCTTGAGCGTTAAAGCGTTAGAACTTAATTATTGTAACTTCTTTGAGTTCAGTTTGTGCTATTTTATTTTCAGGACTTAGTACTCCTAAAAAAAACTTCTCTAATGTGAATTACTATTTCTAATATAGCGTATTGGTAAATAAATTGTTTTATAAGAAACAATTAATTTTTTGTTTGTTCCTTTTTACACGAATCATCCAGCAAGGACGTTACGAATATCATTTCTTGTTCTTCTTCACATCTTCCGCCTTCCTTCCACCCCAATACTCTTTCATCCTCCTGGATTGTTCCTCTCGCTCTTCCTTAGTCCATTTCCTCCCAATTCTCTTCCTCCTCACAAGAACCCCAGCCTCTTAGTTTTTCCCGAAAATCTCTCTATCCAAGCAGTCCTTATCCTTGATTTTTAGCCTACCCAGTTTCTCTTTTATTTGTTTTTATTCACCCCCCCCCCATACTTCTATAGCTGCTGACTTTGTCGAAAATTTTCTTGTTTAATCTCTTATTGTTTATCCTGACCATGTGCTCGTTGAACCTCAGTCTTCTGATTCTGATGACTGTTTCCAAATCTTCCAAATTCCTATATATTTCTTCATTGGATTTTCGCCTATACCCCTCTTGCCTTATTTTGGGTCCGTGAATCCTCCTCAGAATTTTCCTCTCGACCTTTAGGACTTTCTCTAGGCTCTGAAGGCTTACTGTTTCCATACCATACAGTATCACTGGTTTTACTACTGTACTGTAGTGCCTTATTTTTGCAATAGAGGAAAAATTTTTCTTGCTATAAACTTCTCTAGTGGCAAAGTTCAATCTTTCCATTTTGGGTATTCTTTCTTCTATGGATGCCCTATCTGTTCCGTTGCTACATATTATCTCCCCTAGATATTTAAACTTTATGGTTACTTTTATTTGCCCATATTTTGTGTTCAATATTTTCTTGCTTACCTTGGTATCCATTGTCATAATTTCTGTTTTTTCATACCAGATCTGTAGTCCTATTTTCTCAGCTATTTCTTTCATGATGCTTACCTGTTTTATGGCTTCCTCTCCTTTTTCTGCTTGCAGAGCTAGATCCTCTGCAAAGGCCAGACACTTTACTTTCACATTGTCTCTCTTTGTTCCTATTACTGCACCTGCATCGTCCTTTTGCCAGAAAATTCTCATGATTTTGTCCAGCACTACATTAAACAGTATTGACGACATTCCGTCGCCTTGCCTAAGCTCCGTGTTTATTTGGAATGGTTTACTTATTAGTCCCTGGAATAAATTGTTTTATTGTATAATTGATGTATAATCAAGTAATTTTCTATAAGTTATTTTGTGTTCAATTTATGAAAGTTCATTATCTCATAATTAATCTTTTATAATAAAAATTGGCTTATCCTTCTACTTTCATTAGTTTATTTTTACTTAAGAAAATAGATATTGAAAATTTAACAAGAACCATAAGTTATTAACAAATATAAGCAATTCTTAGGTTTGTTGATAGTTTATCTATAATTTCTTTTTTAGGAGTCTTTCTGGTCACAGTTAAAATATGAATGTGAATTTTGCCATGGGCGTTTACTAAATGATTTTGATTTAAAGTTGCATATTAATCAAGCGCATGATTCAAAGACATATTTGATTAAGAATCATGTTGAACCAAACAGTAACCTGAACCGTATACAGATGTGGTCTGAGGAAATTATGCTATACAAACAGGGAAAATGTTTTATTGATGGATGTCAGTTTGTTGACAATTATGTGAAAATTTTGGAAAAACATTATTCTAACTGTGTAAGTATTCATATTTTGTTTATTATATTTTTTAAATTTCATTTTACTTTTCTCATTAATCTTTTTATTTTATTTAAAAATAATGTTACACTTGTTATAAAAGCTAATATGCTTAAAATAGTAGAAATCCGTGTAATGAATGAAAATATTATATATGCGCTCACGCTTGCTTTACATTCTTTGTCATCTAGAACATAGTTGAATTTTTAGTTTACAACATTCAAACATAAATTAGATCAAAATCTATTATAAATTCATTAAATTTATATTTACTAAAAATATACTTCAATAACTATTAAACTATATCCTTCTCCTTCTTGAAATGTAAACGATATTAAGAAATCATTTTTGAATGAATGAAAATGATTTTATTATTCTGGGACTAATATCTCTTTAGAACAAGTTATAAGTACAGAATATATTAATATTAATTAATTAATATTCTGGTGTGTCCATAAAATACAATTAAATATTTACAGGATGATTAGTAATAAAATAGAAGATATAAAAACGTGCATAAATATAAAATAAACAGAGAAAGTAAAATAACTAAACAAAATCTCAATAAATCACAAAATAATAAAAGTATCTCAATAAATAAATAAATCTCAATAAATCACAAAATAATAAAAGTATGTGGGGCTACTTTAAGGTTCTTACAACTTATTGAAGAGGAGAGATTTGAAAGAGGATACTTGTGGGTCGAATATCTGAGGGGATAGAGTTCCAGAGGAAGACAGCTTGAATTAAAAAGGATTTGTCAACTGCAGCAGTTCGGCGGGGAGCATTGATGGGATTGAAAGGAGCATTTGAATTGTAGGATCTGTAGAATATAGGAGGGTCGCCTAGTTCTATGGTGTGGTATAGGAAGGAAACAAGAAACACTGATGGCGGTAGGACGGATAAAGCCGCTTAAACTCAGTATAAAGCTGGGTAATATGTGTATTACATTCAGGTCCCGAAGATAAAGCAAATTGAACAATTTATTAGACGTTTAAGTTTAGCTTCGAGTTCTCCCGAGAGTCCACCATACACCATACAGCAATAGTCGAACTGGGGGAAAATAAGAGATGAGACCAGGAGTTGACGGGTTTTGAATGGAATCTAAGAAGATAACGCAGAAGATGGTTAAACTGTTTCAGGGTGGAAATAGTACAGTGGAAAATTTGGGAGATGTGTGGTTTCCAGGAGAGGATTTGATTGAGGCTAGCACCAAAGTTTTTAACAGCAGTATGGAAGGAGATAGGTGAGTTGTTCAGGAGAAGATTGGGAGGCACTGAAATGGATTTGAGGAGTGAGGGGGATCTGATCAGGATGGCTTTTGTCTTCTCCGTATTTAATGTGAGCTTATTAAAATTCACCCATGCGCATATTTTATTGATGTTGCAGTTTCAGGATGGCATTAGAGGAATCAGCTGTGTTGAAAGAAAGGTAAATTTGGATGTCATCAGCATATAGGTGATTTTGGCAGTGCATGATAATGGAAGGGGGGTAAAGAAGAACCTTGTGGGACGCCTCTGGACAGGAGTAGAGACACTGATGGAGGGTTATTAGTGACTACAATGTACTGGGAGCGAGCAGTGAGAAAGGATTGGAACCACTTAAGGGCTCTAGATGATAAGGAAATATTTTTAAGTTTGGTTAGGAGGTTATTATGGTCAACTGAGTCAAATTACTTTAGAGAAATTAAGAAGGATCAGGGTGGTGAATTTCTGTTGATCTATGGCTATGTGAAGATCTTGGGAGATTTTAATGAGGGCTGAATGAGTAGAGTAGTCAGGTCTAAAAGCGGACTGGAAGCAGTTCAAATGGTTATTTTGTTTGAGATATTGAGATAGTTGGGATTGTACTATTAAAGGTTACTACTAAAGATTTGGAAAGATTAGATAACAGGGAAATTGGACGGAAATCATTAGCAGTTGCGGGATTAGAGGTTTGGTTCAGTGGACGAACAAGGGCAGTTTTCCAGGTGCTGGGAAAATTGGAACATTGTAGTGAAAAATTATAGATATGATAAAGGATTGGGAAAATGGATGGAAGTGAGAAGTTAATTAATTTGAATGGAATATTATCTGCTCCGAAATCTTTGGTTTGGGATTTACAAATGAATTTAAGGAGGTTGTCAGAGGTAATATGAGAAAATAAAAAATAATAGGGATGAATGAGGGGTGAAGCTGGTGCCTGGAAAGAGGGATAGGATGAACAGGAGACAAAATGAGTGTTCAGTATGTCAGCTGAAATTGAGATAGTCTGGGTTTCTCTACGAGTAATTTCTGGAAGATTGTCCACATGGCTTTGGAGTTTGGAGTGCTGATAAGGATTGTTGATAACAATGGGATTTGGCAAGGTGTATCAAGGATCGTGTACTATTTTGAAGCAGCTTGAAGTTCGTATAGTCTTTGGGGAGTCGATTTCGTGTAAACCTTCGTCTAGCCGCATCTCTTCATTTGATACTATTTTATATCGCAGGTGTTAGCCATGGGGCTTGGGGATACTAGGATTGTTCTAACTTAAAGAAGAGCAAGACTGTCCAGGATAATGTGCAGATGATTGGTTAAAGTTTCTACCATAAAATTGATGGAGTTAGGGGTATAGGGAATCCTGTTGGATTGTGTCAAGATCAGGCATCACAGTTTCGGATGATAGGAAATTACGGTTTCTAAAAGATATAGATCGGGGACAAAACAGCGGAACAGGAGGTTATAGGAGATCTGTATGAGATCATGAGCCGACAAAAAATGAACCGGGTGCAGTGATGAGGTGAGGAGTTTATCAGGAGAGTCGATAATGCAGAGATCAAGCCAAAAATCTGAGTATTGGGTGTGATGGCTAGGGTTGTATGGGACTATATACAGATTAAGGGAGTAGAGGATGTGTAATAAATAGACTTGCTCAGAGAAAAGAAATAATAGGTAGGTGTTGAAGTCTCCGAAAAGAACAATATTAGAGTAGGAAGGATTCAGTTTGTAAAGGATGGTATCATGTGTTTCATCAAAGAGCACTCTAGGAGGTCGGTAGATGACACCAACGAGTAATAGATATCAAGAGGTGGATATTTCAGCTAAAAGATATTTGATATGTGGGGAGACAGAAAGGGGAGAGAATGCAAAGATTTTGGATTGCAGGCTATCGTGGACAAATAGGGCTACTCCGCCTCCGGTTCTATTTAATCTATCATGATGGAGTAGGGTATAGTTAGGGATTAATAACATTAATAATAAAACTTTTGAAAAGTAGAAACTAGAAAAAATCGGTAGCAGAA